CTTCTTCCCATTGCAACATGGGGTTTTTTTGTGCTTGGGAAATTTGAATCTTTTTGTGATTCAAGCAGTTGCTCACTGTCCTGTCCTAGAGCCATGGGGAAGGACTGATTCCCTGTTCCCATCAAAGAGATGACAAAGAATTCAAGAGCATGCAAAGGTGCCAGGTATGACAGGAGAAAGCATGAGCTGGCAGGGCTGAGGTGACCACAGGGGCTGACAGAGCTGCCTGGGCAGGGGTGGCAGCTGACAGCATCAGAAGCAGGATGAGCCAAGAGGTGAGGTGGCAGGGGCTGGGAAGGAGGACGTGAGTCACTTGTGCTTCAGGCAGCGCTGGAGGAGGGAGCAGAGGCAGGGGATGCTCCCTGGCTGCAGGAATGGCTGGGAAGGAGAGTGGCAGGTTGTGGTGGCTGGAAATAGGGAAGCAGCAGCACGATGCTGGCAGTGACCTGTCCTCTTTCCCTTGGCACAGTCTGGTGCTCCCCTCCTGTGTCCTGTGCCCCAGGACCCGCAGAGCTGAGCTGTACTTGGCTGTCAGCACCGAGCACCTCGGAGCTGTGCTAGTGCTGAGCCAGTGGCTCAGTGTGTCAGCAAGGCACGCTGTGCTGCAGGGGGCTGTTTGGCAGGGAAAGCACCAGAAAGGCTTGTTCCTACTGAAATCAAACTCTTCCTTTCCTTTGGGTAAGGGGAAAATAAAAGGTCAGAGCATGCATCACAGATTTTGTGATGTCAAAGCGTGTGGTTTGGTAGCAGGGTGGGTTAAGCCAGCACTGTGTGTTTGTCGGGGCAGTGGAATCACAAATGTACTTCTCTGGTGCAATGAGCTGTTGGGTCTCTGGACAGCCATGTAGTGCTGCAAGGCACCCTCTGGCTCTGTGCTGCCAGGAGAGGAGCCACGGCTGGGAATGATGTGGGGATGAGCAGCAGAGAGCTCCTGAGCAAACTTTGTGAGCTGTGCAAACAGGCAGGGATGGGGTCAGCTCTCCACAGCTCAGCTCTAGCTTTTAGGAGGAAACTACTCATGACCCCTTAATTTTGCTTTTTATAGAGATCACAAACTCACTGGGACTTCTCCTAGGGGAGAACATCAAAGTTCAACATCCCCATCCTTGGAAGTGTTCAAGTCTGGCTGGGTTGGACAGGGATGGGAGCAGCCTGGGGTAGTGGAAGGTGTCCCTGCCCATGGCAGGGGGCTGGAATGAGATGAGCTTTGTCCTTTCCAACCCAAACCATTTGATGATCTCCCTGGTGATTGCCCAGCTCCTCTATAAATGTGATAAGGAAAACTATCTTTAGTTTAGCAAATAAACAAAGTAAAACCACGATCCAGCCAGCCATACTACATCTCCCATCCATACATCCCATCTTAACTAATTATTAAATCATATTTGCTGATAAGTATGAGATGTAATATCTATTACACAGCTGTTAAACCTCAATTAATATGTTTTAATGATCAGTCGTTTACTGTGCAATATACAATTAACATCCGGTATTAGATCTTAAATTAAATGCGTGTTTGGGAAGCTAAATTTGCAGCACTGAACACAGCCCTGCTGCAGTAAACAGAGATAATTGCCTGGAATAAGCAGCATTCCTGTGCCCTGAGAGGGGGCTAAACCAACACTCCTGGCATTGGAGATGAATGGAGGAGAATTGCTGAAGAAGCTGGGTTCTACTTTTTCAGTGTATTTTGATTCCTACAGAGGTTTTAATTCCTTTCCTTTGGAAAAAAGCACCCTGATGTAGAGCTGCTGTGTTCCTGCAAGTGGGAAGGTTGAGGTGTGTGGGGTGCCGGCTCAGAGGGGTCTTTACTTGGCAAATGTTGGGCAGGAACGTGGGGCAATTAATTGTGCTGAATCCTGGGGCTGTGTGAGGGCGTTCAGTGCTGCAGCTTGGAGCTGAGGCCTTAAATCAAAGATAAGGCTCAGGTTACCTGTCAGCAGGAAAGCTCTCATTGCACCAAGGGCTTGGGGCCATGCAGGGAAGTAAATTCACTGCTCGGTGCTCTCCAGGCAGTGGCCACAGAGCTGTGTGTGTGGGCAACAAACTGCAAACTCACAGAAACACAGAATGCTTTGGGTTGTGACCTTAAAGATCATCTTGTTCCAGTTCTCTGCTGTCAGGGACACCTTCCATGACTGCAGGTTGCTCCAGGTTCTGTCCAGCCTACTTCCAGGGATGGAGCAGCCACAGCTTCTCTGGGCAGCCTTTGCCAGGGCCTCCCCACCCTCTGAATAAAGAACTTCTTCCTGACAGCAAATCTAAATCTCTGCTTTCCTCCTTGTCCCAGCACTATTCACCCATGTAAAAAGTGTCTCTCCCTGCTTTCTATAAAATGCAGGGATGTCAGACAGCCAGCAGTGCAGAGGGGTGCAGCAGCCCAGGAGTGGCTTCTCAGATTAGAGAAGGAGTAAAATTTGGCTTTGAGATTTTTTTTAAAATTCACATAAAAGATGGGGCCACAGAATGCTCCCTTTGATCCCTCACACTGCTGCAGTGTGGCCTCTGAGAAGCGAGCCCACGTTGTCTGGTGGGATGCTGAGGGACCCAGCCTGCTCTCAGCATGCTGCTGCCTCGTTAACTCAGGATTCACCTTTCCCATGAAAAATGTGCTGGAACAAAAATGAAGAAAAATTCTTCTCCTTTCCTTTTTCTTTTCTTACACTTGGAGGAACAAATGAAGATTGATATGTTTTTCCTCTAGACTTGCAGTTTAAATATGCAGTAATGCATCTTATGAGGAAAGGCAGCCTTCACCACCCGTGTTTTCTCTACGGAACCTTCCCCTCACTCCATCACTTTGCTATAGCAGGTGTAACCTCTGCAGAGATTTGGGGACAGGGTGGGGCTGCAGCTGGGGCTCCCCTGGCACTGTGAGGACAGGTGTGAGAGCTGACTGCCACCAGGCACCCCCCTCCTCGTTTTGTATTCATCCTCACCCCAAAGCTTCCTATGAGGTTTGTTGTGTTTATTTTTGGGGGACTTTTTTATGATTCTTTGGAGGGCCAAACTTAGGGGTTTTTTTGCAAATTAATGTTTTCTTCTGTCTTTGGGAATTTGAAGTAAAACACATGAGTCTGATTAACACTCCAAATTGCTGTGGTCTCCCTCCAAAGTTTCCTCATCATCTTGCTTGGGATTGGATGAAGGTGACTTAAACATTTCCAGGAACCTTTTGTTTTGTACCAGGATTCCACACTTGCAATGCTTTGGCTCACAGCTGTAGGTATCCCAGAAAGGGACAGATAGATTCAAGGTTTGGGAGAGAACATCATTTGGCAAAGGATGGCGGTGGCTTGTCATGAATGTTGATGGGGAAAAGCAGCCCAAGACTCCAGTGTGGGCTCCAGTCCTGCCTGGGTGGGTGGTACTGAGGAGGGAGATGGGGGCAAAGCTGGTGTTTTCCTTTGGGCTGTGATCCATCAGACCAGCTGAGCATCTAAGCAATTTTCCAAGGGGGTGTGGATGCAGGTGCTCCAGGCTCTGAACTATCACTGTCCAACCTCAATGCCAGGAGGGGACCCCAGAATATGCTGTTCCCTCTGGGATCTGCTTCCCATGGGCTAAAAAACACATTTAAGGCAATATCCCACACCTTGTGGGTGGCCCAGGCAGGGGTTAACAGTCTTGTCCTTCACATAACCAGTGAGCTTCGTTTCTGCTGAAGCCAGGATCTGGAGGGAGGTGGAAAGGGCAGAGCCAGCAGTGCAAGCTGATCCTCCCTGGAGACCAGATGCATTTAAGCAGCATGGAATAGAGGAAATCTGATTCCAGTGTTGACAGAGCTGTCTTGGCCATTCCAACTGGGCTGGGCAGAGGGTCTGGAGCAGGCTGGAAGGCCTCTGAGTGTGGCTAGCACACCTTCAGCCAGGCCAAGGCTCCTTGCCCCAGTCCTTTCCCCCTTCTTGCTTAAAGGGATGAAGGCATGGGACATCAGCATGGGGCCTTTGGCAAGGAGGAGATGGCACTTTGAGCCAGATTTAGCCACAGCAGCTTCCAGGGTTGACCATTTGCCTGCGACTTGGGCTCATATGGGAAAACAGGCCCAGAGAGGATGAGTCTGCACGTGTTGCTAATTTTTCCCCGTTGTGGTTGAATGTCATGCCATCTCTTCCTTTCAAAAATCTATCTTTCAGGTTATCCAGGATCCATTGTGTGTACAGTTTAACCCTCTCTCTGCTCCTGCCCCTGCTGCATCCCATAGAGGATGCTCCTGTTTTAAAATGTGCTGTTGGGGAAAGGATGCTGAGGGAAATGCTTTAGATAAGCAGACAGGCAGTGCTGGCCTATGAGTGTACTATTGAAACATCTTTATTTCTTCTTATTTGATATTTTTCCCCTCTGTTCTCCATTCTTCTGTCCATTTCTAGCTTCTTTCCCTCATTTTCCTTGGTTTTCATCATCTGCTTGGCCATCTGTGCCTCCCCACTCCCTTTTCTCAGAGCTTCTCTGAAGAAGAATAATGTTTCAGCAGCTCTTGGATTTTGTCTGCAAGCCTTGAGCCTTTTCTGAAGGTCCAGGCCAGAGCACAGTGCTTCAAACAGGATTTGGAGTCTCTAACACAAATTCTCCTGTGACACCTAGCAAAGTCTCCCCAGCTGCCCTCTTGGCTTCAGAACAGCCGTTTTAGGACAAATACATAAAGGTGACTTTGACAGTCACCTATCTCAGGAACAATTTTGGATGTACATCACCCTAAGATTGAGTTATCTGAGTCTTTCAACGTTAATTTTCAACTGTTAACAGTGTGTTTTCCAACACTGCAGAGTTGCAGGGTTTGGAGTAGGCTAAGGGTGGAAATTCTTTATGGTTTGGGCTTTCTTTATGCTTAGGGCATGGAAACCCTCAGGATTTGTATGGCCATTAAAAAAAGCTGGCAGGGAATGAATACTGCATTTCTACCTCTGGTTGGTGCTGCTGAGGGGGTGCTGGGCTGGCTCTGGGTCCTGATCCCATGTTCCTCTTTCCCTCCCCAGAAAATGAGTTTCGGGGTGAGCTGCTGAACCAGAGGTGGACCTGTGGAGAGAAGATCAGCAGCTGCGAGGGAGCCGCTGGCCTGCACGGCACACACATCAAGGTGAGTACACAGGCAGGGACATTTTTTGGACAGTGACCCCCCCCACCCCATGTGTTGGCCATGGGACAAGGGCCACATGTGCTCCAGCTCCTTCTGGACCAGCTGCTCCTGGGGGAATGGAGCCTTTCCGGTACCCACAAAGTGATGGGCAGGACTTGGAAATCTCTGTCTCCGTGCTACAGCCAAACCTCCTGTATAGTGAATCCGGGCAGGGAGGGCTTCCAGCTGTCGAATTTTGGCTTGGAGTCCAGATATTTAAATCCTTGCCTTCCTCTCCGGTGCCATCCTTCAAGGGTGGCTCAGATCTGGGTATTTAGGTCACTCCCAGGCCTGTTAAAATAGGCCCTTTCTCCAAGGCGCCGGCTGGTCGGAAGGAGCCCCTTGAACACCAGGTGAAGCTGTGGTGCCTTTGGAGGGGACAAGCGAGTCATTCATCCCCACCGGGACCCTGGACAGCTCCTGGGGCTCAACACAGCCACTCATTTACTGCTGCAGCTGTGCCTGATGAAAGAGGTACAGCCAAGGCTGTCAAACCTCCCGGCAGATTCACTGCCAGCAGATTAGGAAGCTTTAATTAAGCAGAGAACTGGGCTGTTCATTGCACAAATAGTGCTTCCTGTCCTATTTTGACCTCTCAGTAGTCAGGCACTGTCTCCAGTGAGTGGATGGACCCACCTGGGTGATGTGGAAGCTTCTTTGGGTGACTGATGTTGCCAACTCTTCCTGCATCCCTAGATAAACCAAACCCCAGGAAAACCCCAAACCAGCAAAAATCCACACTTAAAAACATCCTTCTTCACTAACAAGCTGTCAGCTGCACGCAGGTGTCACCAGGAGAGCTCACACCTTCTTAGAAAGCAGAGTAAGCAGTTGTTGCTATATTTAAAATGAGCTCAATTAAGGCTTTTCTATTGAACCTGCCAAATAAGCACTTAGGTTAGATTTAATAAGATTGTCGTATGTTAATAAAGTAATGATTACAAAAGGTAACATTCCCAGTACCTGGCGCTCATCTGGTGCTCTGCCTCTAACAAGCACATCACGATTATTAACTGTTCCTTGCAATCCTCAGCTCTGCTTATCTGTGCTTTATCTGAGTGCCAGGGGTGAGAGGAGGGGATGGGGAGGGGAAGTCTGGAGGGAGCCTGTGTGGGTGTGCAGCCTCCTTACCTCACGGGGGGAGAGGTCCCGATCACTCTCTAACCTTTGGATCCGCATTGTGTGCGCACGCTTGCGGCTTCTCTGTGTGCTCATAAATATATATTGTATTTAAATGTACTTTTTCATGCCAGTCACAGCTCGTAATCCACAGGATGTGCAGTGGTGAAGGACAATGGGATGTGGGGCACGTTTACTTATTTATTTTTTTCCTCTAAAGAAGTGCAGGCATGGGATAAAATTTCCCATGACAGGTTTGAAATGAGATCTCTGCAGTGCTGGGGAGAGCTGATCTCTGCATGGAGCCAGCTGAGCCTGGACGCTGCTGCCAGGGCTCCGCCTGGACCACAGTGTCTGGTGGCAAAATGAACCTTTGTCTCCCAAATCTCTATTTTCCTGTGCCATTGGGATCTAGCTGGGAGGTAGCTGAATAGCAGGCAGGTTGTTGGTGAGGGCTGACTGCTGTCAGCACAGGTGAGGGGATGGTGGTGGGGCCACCAGAGCCCATCCCTGCCATCCCCTTCCAGAGATGCATCTCAGCAATCCCCTCACAGTGTGCCACTCAAGGATAATCTCATGGAAAAGGCGGCTGGCTTATCACGGAGCTGGAAAAAAAATGAGATTGAGGAACTACAATATTTTCCCCCCTCTTCCCTACCTCTTCCTCTGGCACAAGAGCCATCGGCACTTACGGAGCCACTTAGGTCTCCCTGGCATTGGGGCTGTGCCTTGTAGCGCTCCCCAAGAGTGGAGAGGAAGGTGTGTGTCAACTTCAACCACGGCCTCTGGAATCACCCAGCCTAACGCTGGGCTGTCAGCGCTGTGGAGGCAACGGTGCAGCTGTGCCTGTGTCAGATGTGATGCTCAGGAGCAGCTTTTTCTGCTCCGCTTCCCTCGAGTGTGGAGGACGCTGCTGCCATCGCTGCGGAGCAGTGGCGCTCGGGCAGCGCTTCACTCGCAGCACTGGCTGCTTTCAGAGGGGGGCTGGACCCTTCCTGCAAATGCAAAGTGACAGCACGGCTTCAGGAGGATGTTTGTGACACAGCTGGAGTGTCGGGTTGGAGGTGGGTACAAGCTGTGGGTTTGCATCTCAACATGTCAAGGCAAAATCCTGCCCCCCTCCCCGGCTGCGGGCCCGGGAACACCGTGCAGGGTGTCCTTTCCTGGAAGCAGTCAGAGAAAAAGGCAGACGGGAGCTTATTCAGCCGAGAACAGGACTCACAATAGGTGGAACGTCAGGAGGATTTAAATCAAGCAGCTAGGAAGACCCTAAAGGAAGAAGAGGGGAAAAAAAAAATCCTCCTAATCTCAGAGTGTGGTTATAAAATAGCAGCTGGGAGCTACTACTGAGTAGCTTTAAAAGTAGAGGCATGTTGTTGATCAAGAGTATTTCTTCCTCCATCAATCTTTATTTATTTATTTAAAAAATTCACAGCTAGAGAAGGTCCAGCAGGACAAAGTCCTCCTCATTTTCTGCAATGAACAAAGATGCCATGGCACTTTACAGAGAGGAAAGAGGAGAAATTTGGAGACCCAGATCCAGGTCTCTCCACCTGTGTTCAGCCTGCAACAGCCAAGGAGGAATTCCTTATAAGAAACAAAAGGGAGGTGAAATCAGGATAGGCCATTCAAGCCCATCCTCACTGAGAGGCAGTTTTGCTGCCTTTTCCCTTGAGGAGCTCAAAAAGGGACTCCTTGGATCTTCAAGAAGGGAAGGACCAAGCAGAAATCCTCTTTTTAACAATTCTGTAGGAGAAAATGTCATTTCTTCTGGCATTTTCCTTCTGCTGCTAGGCAAATATAAGTTGAGGGGGTTTTAAAAACTAAAAATAGAGGCACTGTGTGTCTGTCTGTCCCTCTAAAGCTCAGATGCTGCTTCTTGCAATTGGCATTTTGCTACATCTACAAATAGGCACCGATGGAAGCTCTGCTGCTTTCAGTGTAAAATAAATATTCCTGCTGAATCCTCACCTCCCTTTGTCCGGCTGAAGGGGTTTTCAGCATGTTTATTTTCTCTGAGCTCTGTGGTGCTCTTGAATACATATAAAGTATTACTGCTGACCGGGGGGAATTTCAGCAGGGCCTTTAATGGCAGATTTGCATAGAGCTGTCGAAGCCCAGGCACACCTGGGCATCAGCACATGCTGGGTTCCCAGTGGGTTTGTGTTCTGTTATGTTCCTCAGGCTTCCACTGGAAAGGAAATGTGTATTAAGACAAGAAGGAAGAAGAAAATGTCAACCCTGTAGGTACTCTGTAAAATGAAACTTCAGATCCGTGCTGTATTGCTGTCGTGGCAGCAGAACAAGACCTTGACTATGGAATCTGGCAGTTAAAATTCACATTGTGCTCAGGTTAAACTCTTTTTCAAGTTTATCTGTCTGAACATCATTGATTTAAGTCTGCATCATTGACAAATTATCATTATAACTTTTATTCTGCTCGTGTCAGGGAGCTCCTTAGTGCAGGGTAAACAGGATAGGGGACATTTCTTACTTTCAGAGAGAAAAGAGAGGGGAAAAGGGCACATAGAGATGATGTTCCTAAGAGTACCCTGACTGCCACAGGCAGAGCACTGATGTGAATCCTGGAGGGAATACCCAGCACAGGGTCCTTTCAGGTAGTGTTGGGTTAGGAAACTTGCAAGATGCTGATTTTGATTTAAACTTAGAGATAACCCATGGATAAGGTGAGGAGGTATGGAATGAACATCTGTCTTTTCCAGACAGACTAATGTGCTTGTGACTGGCATCTGGCAGCAATAATTTATTTGCAGGTTTCCTTTTGGACTGCTTTGTTTTCATTCAGTTAAAGCAATAAGACTGAAATCCAGACAGCTCCTCAGCCTGGCTGTTATGTGAACAAGAGAGACACCTAATGAAAATACCCTGTCGGTCTCCAGGACTGCAAACATGCACTGTGTGACCTGAAATTTCACATTAAAACGATCTGTCTAGAGGGCTTCTGGCTGAGAAGGCAACAATAAAGGACAATGGTTTCATGTAACCTTCCTGCATCTGAGCCTGATATCACAGAGGCTCCAGAAGCACAGTCAGGGCTCTGCCAGTTGTTTAAGTTGCCTGGGAGGAGCAGGGGCTGAGCTCTGAAATGGATCTTATTCCTGGTGTTTCTGCACTTTGGAGGGAAATGAGGATTTTTGAGGATGATCCTGATGTTGGTTTAAGCAGAAAAAAGGAGCTTGATGGTAGAAAACAGAATCTGTGAGGGCAGAGCCCACCCCATCCTGATGGTGATGAAATGAAACATTATAAATACACAGCAGTGAGGCTGTGTCAGGATCTCTACACAAGTAAGGGGGTCTTCCCTAGGGGGAAAACTCCCATTAATTTAGAAGTTTGTGGTTGGGTTGTTTGTTTGGGTTTTTGTGGGGTTTTCTTTGGTATAATAGGCCAGGCAAGGCAGCCTATTTGGCTTTTCCGTTCTGTGGTCCTCAGCAAGGTTGGGTCACCAGGTGTCCCTTCCAGCCCTGGGAATTCTGTGATTCTGTGGGTCTGGCCCTGCCTTAGGTGGCTCCTATCCGCTTAGCCCATGTGCTGACTGAATCTGCTCCTGTCTTCCCAGGGTGTTTGATCCTGGTTTGAAACAGGAATGAGAGGCAATGGGAGGAATTGCTCTGTGCTGTAGTGCGGAGCCTGGATGCCAGCTCACACGATATTTAACTCCTGAAGACAAATGTGACCTGAAGTGGGATCTCCCCTATTTATAGATAAGAAGCTTGAGCCCATCCCACCTGCCTGGCTAAGAAAAATGACATTTTGCTTTGCTTTTCCATGCTGTGTGGGTCCCAGCCCCTCTTTTTTTGGCCTGAGCTGGCCCCTCACAGGTGCTGTCCATTGCCCTTCCCACAGCCTGACCTTGTCTGCCACTTTGATCTGCAGGAAACACATATTGCCAGGTCACCACCCCAGCATACGCCAGTTCCCGGTGAGAACTGCCAAAAGAGGAAAAAAAGAGAGAGAAAGAAGAAAGAAAAAGCCCTCTCTGGGGTTCCTGTTGGTTGGTTGCTCCCAGCAATCCGAGGTGCCGTTGCACTGGCGGCGTGCGGCGGCATCAGGGAGCGAGCTCAGCGCACGCCGGCGTTGAAAGGCTCATAAATGTAATGAAGTCCCTGTGACACCTGCTCCTCTGCACACTTTAAACGGGAGCCATCGGTCCGCAGGGAACTGGGGCTTTAAAAATACAAATTATAGTAATTGTCTGCTGTGTTATTGGGAAGATTGTAATAAACGTGGAGCACAACACCGCCGTGCCATGAGCTGAATGCTGACAGGACGCATAAATCGCTCCAGGTTTTGATTCCCCTCACCACCCCCATATTTTTTTATTTTTTTCTTCTTTCCTCTCCACCATCCCCATCTAACAAATCATTGCATGTTAACATTGAATTTCTGGGAGGTGGCAGTGTGAAGGAGAGAGGCGCTTGGGGAAAATTTCATCCCTCTCCTGAGGGGTTTGTAGCTGTGATGCCCCAAGGGCTGGGGACCTTAGTCCCCTCTCCCTGCCTGCTCCAACAGCCTCCCTCCCTCTTTGCTGCTCCCAAACCTCAGGGAAAGCACCAAGCAGTGCCTCCTTTGCAGGTGAGAACCCCTGGCCCTTCTGTTGGGAACTGGGAGTGGCATTCATCAGGACATTTTTAGGGTGCACACAGGGACTCAGCAGCACATACCCTACATGCTCTACATCCATGTCCCTTCCTGCCCCTGGAGCAGAGAGAGCAGAGATGGTGTCCCTGCTCTATCAGGGTTGATGGAGCCATGGAACCTCCTCATTTAGGAATGATACAGGAGCTGGTTTGTTCTTTCTCTAACTGGGCCTGTAGAGGACATTCCAAAGAGAGTTTATTATGTCAAATCCCACTTGTAAATGGTTCTTTCACCTCCTTTTCTCTCTCCTTGTTATCTCTGGAGGAAATGTCCCACATGATAACGCTGCAGTAAAACCCAGATTGTCTTCCCAACCTTCCAGGCTCTGATCCCCTGCCCTGCTCACACCCCGATCTTGCCATTCCCCCTTGGCATTTACTGCCAAACACTCCTGCCTGCAGAGAGAGCATCTGCGTCGAGGCTGAGATGTAAAACAGTTCTTTGACCACTTCAGCAGCTCCTCTGACAACTTTAATGAAATCCCATTTATATTATTCCAGCCGCATCTTTGTGCCATGCCATGGAGGTCCCTGCTTTCCTGCTCCCACCTTCGGGCACTGCCTGCTTTCAAAGGTGCTGGACCCCAGAGGTGGCTGCACTTCAGACTTCTGCTACCTTGTGGCATGTGGTGATGTTTAATTAATATCCAGAACTTTGAAGTCCCCGATGTTACTTATTCATGCCCGTGTTCCCTGCAGACCTCGTGTTTGATGTCCACGTTGTGAGTTATTTAGATGCAGTCCTCTTTGTGGCAAATTTAAGCAGAGACGAGAGGTTGCTCTTTAGGGCACTTGTGAAAAATTTCACTTTACAGGCAGGAGATCTGCTCAGACACATATTCAGAGATTTCTGACTCTTTGCTGGCATTCCACCCAGGTGCTCACAGCAGTTCTGTGCTGTAAATCCGGAGAAATCAGTTCTGCCCTTAACAAAGGCTACCTCAGGCACAGCCAACACATCTGGGTGTTTGTCCCCCTGTGCTACAATGTCCTTCCTGTGTCCCAGGATGTGGAAAATAATTTAAAATTGCTGGATCTGGGCACTGTGTGTTGAACAATAGCATTAAGGTAAGAAACCTTCTCCTCAAAAACACAGGAAAGCTTTCCCAGCCACCCAAGTATTTACACACAAAGCAACTACCACATACAAGCTTGTCCTTTATTGATGATTTTCTGGTTATCTTTCAGTAATGATTTTTTTCTTTCTGTTGCAGATGAGTTTAGAAAATGATGATAAGAGAGCACGCACGCGATCCAAGTCTATCCGAGGTGAGTGGGAGCACTGGGCTCTGCACACCTCAGCTCCCTGCACTTCCCTCCTTCCAAACAGGCTTTGGTTTTTCAAGTCCAGCCTTAACTCCTCAAGTTATGCTCACTACCCTTGCCCCAATCCCACTGAAATTTATCTAAAAAACCTGCAAAAGCCCCAACCACAAAACTTTATAGGTCCTTATGATATTTAACCCTCCTCCTCTACACTCAGCTGAAGGAAAATAACAAGCAAATAAGGAAGAAAAGCCCCTGTGCCTGCTTTGCTGTAGGGGATGGCAATCACTGGAGCCTCAGATCAGCTCCCAGGGCTTTCATCAGGCTCACTCTGCCAGCGGCTTTGAAGTCTCACATCTGAGAGTGCCTGGCAGAAGTAGCTCATGCTGGAGAAGCAAATGGGCCATGCCCCGGCAGGGATGGGAGGACAAACAACTGGTTAATGCAAAGATTGACGGGGATTTATTTCCTGATAAAATAAAGAATAATAGAAGAACCGAAATTCTTTGCATGCTTTCTCTCCGGGAGAAGGCGAGAGGCTGTGACAGAGCCCAGGGTGTCACCTCAGGTGACACAGCCATGTGGGATGGTTGCACAGCAGCCTCTCTATTTTTGGGTTCATTTTTGTGGCTGTAGATGTGGCGAGTGACAAAGGTGGCTGGAACTGAGGAACCAACAAGGTTGGAAAGGTGTGATGGCTGCAGGGACTGCAGCTTCATCCTACAGCTGGGCTGGACCACCTTCCTTTTGCCCTCGCCTTCCTCCTTGCTCTTCACAGCATCCGCACCCTTTAAAAACAAAACCAAACCCAGATGTTGCCAGCTGTGTTGAACTGAGCTTTTGAACTGAGCTTGAATATTTGGATTTCACTGCTTTGTTGCACACACACAAAGGTGCTCGTTCAGGTTGCAAATGAGAGCTCCCTGATTCTATTTATTTTCTCACACCCTGCCTTCCCCACACTTGAATCTGGTTTCTCGATGTGAAAGGTAATTTATTGCCTGCACCCTGGGACTCGTCACTGCCTCCAGTTTGTTGAAGCTTGTGAGTCATCCCACTGGGAGCTAGATCCCAGGAAACCCAATTAGCTCAAACAAATTGAGCAAACGTGTTATGGTTTTTAGCCTGGGCAAATTTGGACTTGTGCTGAGGGATTTTTTTTTCCTCTCTTCTTTATTTGGATTCCTGGCTGGATGTAAGGTTTCAGCTGCAATCTGAAGTTGTTGTATGTTCTTGTTGTGAGCAGTGAGAAACCCTCTTATTCACAAGTGGGGAATAATCCTTAAAAATCCTACAAACTCTTGTTTACCCTATACCCCAAGTAACAAATCCCCACCATATGTCTGAGCATTGTCAGGGGCTCCTGCCTCAATCTGATGGGACAGGGAGAGGAGAAAAATGCTGGTGATATAGAGGTGAATGCAGCCATTGCAGGAAAACAGTTGTGAACTGTGGAAGAAGAAATTGATGAGCAGCTTTAAAGGGCAAAAAGAGAGATGAAGGCATGAGAAAACTCAATCTTTATCTAGAAGTGTTTGAGTTACATGCATGCATGTCAGGATAGTTCCACTGACTTCAAAGTCATCACGGATTCAAAGAGGAGAGGTAGTCCCTGATGCTGCCAGTGTGCACTCACCTGTTTGAAAATCAGCACAGGCATGAGGATTTACAAGGCAGGATTATAATTTGCTACAGGCTGGCATGCAACAAAGAACAACAGGATACATTGGCCCTTTATTTTCCAAATGGGATGTCTGGGGAGGAAGTAGAAACCCAGCTGCTGGCAGGAGGGTTTCAGTTTTGGGGGGGCTGGGCAGCTGTGGTTTGTTTCTGACCTTGTGTTTGTTCCCATTGCTGCATCCTGCCCTTCGCCCAGTGCCCACGGAGCTCATCGGCCAGGAGGTGAGGTAAGGACCCTGCTCCTCCTTGGCCATGGGAGGGATGGGGGGCACAGGGTGGGACTGGCTTGAGAGAAGCCCCTCAGCTGGGAAACCCGGGTGAGGGGAGAAAACCCTCGGGACTAGTGGGGTCTTGCTGGGGGGCTTCTCTTGGAGGTTGTGTCCAAGTCCTCAGGGTGCCACTAGAGAACACATCAGAGGAATCACAAGAAATGAAAACAGGAGCTCTGGGTGAACCACGTTAGACTGGAGACCCTCCAGCCATCCGCTGCCCCACCCCAGATCTAAACCCCAGTCAAACCTAATGCCCACGGTTTGTGTTTCAGGATCATTGGGGACAACATCCTACTAACCAGAGGTTTTTCCACATATTTGTCATGTCACTTCTGGTGCCAGATGCTCCTTCAGCCCCCTGTCCTCTGTTCAGCCACCCAACTCCTGTTGTCACTCATTTGGCAGTGCTGGGATGCCAAGAGCAGCAGCCAAAAGAGCAGGAGCAGAGCCTTTGCACCCTCCAGAGCTTCTCATTAGATGTAACAGCCTCCCCCACCTGTAAGCTCCCACTAAACCTTGCACAGGGGTTTATGCCAGAGGTAGGAGCCCTTAACAGGCACTGAGACAGGGGCTGCTTCTCCTTGCGGCCTCCCGTGTGTGTCAAAGAGTAATTGTACCTAAACCAACCCAATTTCAGAGCGTTTTGCTCCTCCACTCTCCTATTAGTCTGGAGAGCCGGGAGGAGCCAGCGCTGGGCATGCCCCTTCTTCAACTTTTATTGCTGAACACTTGAGTGGAGGTGGTAATTGGAGCAGGTGACATATCTAAGGGGCAGGACAGAGTGCTCCACAAAGCCATCTCTGCAGCTGTCACCTAATTGCCTGAATAACTGGACGATTAATCGACTAATTGGAAGCAGGGCATCGTCTGCATAACAATAAGAAGCCCTTTTGTCAAGCAGATGAAGGCTGTGGAGAGGGGGAGAGCTGGTCGGTGTGGTGGCTCTTGAGGGATGGAGAGCAGCTTTAATAGACATCGAAGCCCGTTTCTTCTTTCGGGACTCCTGCCAAAATACACGAAAACTCCCCAGTGGAGAGTGGGGAGGGAAAGCCTGGCCCAGAGCATGTAGAGCATCACCTTTGTGCTGACGCTTTTCAAAGGCATTAAATCAACAAAGTGAAGCCAGAAACATCCCAAATCGACACCTGCTTTGGCAGACCTCGGCTCTGAACCACTTGTCTCTTTCCTACATACTTTTTATGGCAGGCTTCATTTAACCACATTAAAAATGGGGTGATGGGTAACCCACTTTAATTGATACAGGAAAAATTGTAAAAGCCTGTAACATCTTCATCAGAGCTGCTCTTGTTTGCCATTGATTGAGGCCTTTTTCAGGCAAGTCACTGGTGACATAAACACTGCAGTGTCTTTTGGTGTGCAGTCACTGAAAGTGTAGCTGGGGCTGCTTGGGACACAGCAGTCAGGCCTGAGGGCAATTAAAATTAAATAGACTTTTAGATCATAAGCAGTGAAGAGGGAAGCTCCCTCTTCCAATTGCACATGTTAGTGGGATGAGATCTTGTTCTGTACGACCTCGAGTGTCCTGCTGGAGAGGGGACACGGTGCTGTCAGGTGTGGTGGGGCTGGGGCTGTGTGTGGATGCCAGAAGAGCTGGGAGCCATCCCACAAGAGATGGCACTGGAGGATGTGCAGCATCAGGGGTCCAAGCCAGGTCACAAGCAAAGGGGACAGCAGGAAGGGGGAACTTATCTGGAGGAGCCATGAGCTGCAGCTCCCACATCACCAGAGCACAGTGTCCCCTTAGGGGATGTGGTGCCACCATTCACCCTCTCAGCACTTGCTTTGCTGACCTAAAACCAGCCAGCCTCCCTGAAGGAAGGATTCCTACTCTCCTGACAGCTCAGCAGCACTGTCCTGCCCCAGTTTTGGGCTGAATCATAGTTTTTGGACACAAAGATCTGACTTTGTTCTAGGGAGTTGAACCATTAAAAAACTGCTGGTGCTCCCAGAGCTGCTGCACCCATTAGTACAGCCAGACCCTCCCTGTCCTCAGCTTTCCACAGGGCTGAGCTCTCCTGAGAGCAGAAATTCCGAGTCCCTAAAGCCTGACTTCGCACTTGGTACTATTTAATGTTGTCCCATGTCTTTTACTCTGAGAATAACAGGCTGGCCAGATCCCCTCTGGGCTGGTGATGCCTTCTCCCTTTGCACTGTCATCAAGAGATTTCATTAGCACTTCCAACTTCCCAGGCTGAGGGTGATACAGTGCTAAATGAGGTTATTAATCCTACATGACTCCAGAATTCCTCAGACATCAGGCAACTCACTTGGGCATCCTATAATCAATGCCATAATCTGGTTTTGCCAGAAAATGTTTGCTTTAATGCTTCTTATCTGGGGCCCTTACAGCTCCTGGAGCTGGGACTAATTACCCCTGCAGGGGAAGAGCGTGGTCCCGTGTGAGGGATGCTCAAGTGAAGGCAGCAGTGGCTGTCAGCAGGCTGAGAGCTCCCTGCAAGCCTTTAACTCATCATCTTCTGCAGACCAGCAGGAAAAAAATGCAGGGATTTGGGAGATCTAGTCACCTAAATCCCATCCATTCCCCCAAAATGAGGTTTTGAGGATTTTAGTCCTGGGGATCTCCATGCAATGTGTTTGGCTAAAACCTCCTTGATAAAGTTCCAGTCTGCTCTTCCCCAAAACACACACATTTCTTGCTGTAAGTGGCCCCAGTTCCCTGACAAGCTACCAGATAAGGGAAAATCCAATGTTTTTCTCCTGAGAGAAAGAAAACTGGAGAGTAGCAGCAGGGAGGCAGAGTGCAGTAGCTGTCTGCCTTTAAAAGCTTGCTCTCACACATGCAAATCTTTAATTAAACATACTCATAAAACTACAGCAAACTGTTCATCTAATTAAATGGGGTGAGTAATTTCATTAATTTTTAGCAAACTGCAAGGCTGCCCTCCTCCCCTGGAATTCAAAGGGACAAACAGAACCATTTGAAGGAAATTAACTTCCTGTTTGCAGCTAGCTTGTTCCTTGGGCACAGGACCTGCTTAATTGACTGTAGTTTATACAATCCTAATTAATTCTCCGAGTCCTCTTGCTGTTCCTGATGGTTGTTTGTTTCCCTCCCAAGCTGTCCAACCCCAGGCTGTAACGGCTCAGGACATATCCGTGGGAAGTACGCGAGACACAGAAGGTGAGGTGGGCTTGGAGGCAGCAGGGATGGAAAAATGTGAGCAACAGACCTAAAGACAGGCGTTCACTGGAGAAAGTCTGGTTCAGAGCAGCAACCCAACTTGTCTGCCCCAAATCTTCTTGTTGCTGGCTCTCTCTCAGTCCCTAAGGGATCCTGGGGGGATCTGCTTCTCCAGACTCATAGCAGCCTTCCTACAGACCCCAAACTTGGCCAGAAGTGCCTGACTCAGCTGTCTGGGGCTGGTGGGAGCTGCTGATGGGCAGAGATTTTGGTCTGCCTGGTGTTTCAGTGGATGGGGAAGGCCAATGAGAACACATTGGCTGCCTTGGAGGTCATGCAAGCCTTAACTGAGGGTTTTCATCACCCCATGAATCGTGAAATTGGAGCAGTTGGTGAATGTGTCCCAGGGGCTGGTTCTGCCTCCCATGCCTGGTTTCATGGTGCCCATCACCTACATAGTCCTGGGATCTGGCAGGATCCCAGCATTGTGTGCTGATTTCCAGAAAAATGTTGATGTAGCTGCACAAAGTCAAGGTCTAAGAGCACATCTGGCCACAGAAGGTAAAACCATGTGAAAAAAAAAGAAATCTGGAGTCCTGGATTATTTTTGGGTAGTATTTGTGTGTTTTTCCCAGTTACTTTTGCCTGGCTGGTTGGGATGAGGTAGCCAGGCCTTTCTCACTCAGCAATGCCTCCTCTCTGCTCCTTGATCCCATCTGCAGTTTACAAAGCTGCCCTCTAGCCAAGAAGAGGAAACTTCAGGATGCTGAGGCCGAACATCTGGTGTCGAAGAGGAAATCCCATCCGCTCAAACTGGCCTTGGATGAAGGCTACAACGTCGACAGCGACGGCAGTGAGGAGGCCGAGGCCAAGGAGGAGTCCGGCTCCGATGAGTCAGAGGGGATGCTGGAGGAGGACGAGGCGGAGGCGATGGAGCAGGAGGAGACTCGCAGCCCTGAGGCAGCAGAAGGTGCTTTACAATTATTGATTTCAGAGCTGCGTTCTGCAGATGAAGAAAGGGCAGGAAGTGTTAACAGCCAGGAGTTATAGCTCCTCTGAATTATGTACAGGATGGGTCCCTCAGTTATTGGGGTGACCCATTAATGGGTAGAAACACAATGGCAACGAGTTGAGCTGAGAAGGCACAATACCTCCAGTGTCTTAAAAATAAGAGCTTTTCCCTAGGGAAAGACCCATGGAAAGCACAGAGGAGATTGCTGTGTGGTGGGGAAGGCAGCCAGGGTCCCACGCAGGTGCCATAAGGGGCTCAGCAGGATCCTCCTCCCTAGACAGATCTGGCCACTATCCAAGAGCAGAGGAGTGCCAGGAAAAGGACATGGATTTTCAGCTGGGGTCCTGACACTGCCTTGCTCACTGGTTTGGAGCCCTGGCCTGGGCAGCACTGGCAGCAGGGGTGGCAGTGGGAAGATGGTGTGGCTGAATCCTGTGTGAAAATCCTCTTTCTACCTGCCATCCCCAAATTCAATAAATTAGGCTGCTCCAGGGGTGGAACTGCCAGGCTCTGGTTTCAATTAAGTACAACAAAGTTGTATTTTATGAGTTTATATAATCACTTTCTTAGCCTTCTTTTTTTATTCCTTTTCTTTTCTCTTCCCCCTCCTTTTCTCTTTTACACCTTTCTTCTTTTCCTCCTTTTCTCATCTCCTCACAAAAAAAAATTCTTTTTTTTTTCTTTCTTTCCCATATTTTCTTTCTTTTTCCCTTTTCCCTTCTTTTCTTCCTTTCCCCCCTTCAGAGAGAAGCCCAGCAAAATCAACCCACTATGGACAAAACACAGCAACAAGTACATCTGGGCCCAGCAAGGCCAACTACAGCAGCTACCAAGAAATAATCGCCAACTCTCTCCTAAACTTAGGCCAAATAGCAGAGGAAACCCTTGCCATCGAAGGGCAGCTGCCCGAAGCGGAGCTGCAGGGCTCCAAGCCGGCGCCCAACGTTGTGCATTTGGTCCATGAGGATGCGGGAGAGGAGTTGGTGGAGGAGGAGTGCGACAAGGAGATCATCATCCAGACGGAGGATGCAGAGGAGGTCATCGAGGTCACCAGCGAGCGCAGCAGCGAGTTGTGTCCGGAGCCCCGGGACGACGCCAACGGAGACGAGTCCTGCAAACTGGAAAAGGCTGAAGCAGAAGAAGAGGATGAGGAGGATGATGATGAGGAGGATGATGAGGAGGAGGAAGAGGAGGAAGAGGATGAGGAGGAGGAGGAGGAAGAGGAAGAAGAGGAGGAGGAAGAGGAGGAGGAGATGGCTCCTGAAGTGATCTGCGAGGAAGCTCCTCACACTTCTCAGGACCCCCAGAAAAGCCACTGTGAGGGGCAGTTCAGCCCCAAGCCCGAGTACTCGGTCATCGTGGAGGTCCGGTCGGATGACGACAAGGACGACGATGCCCGCTCCCAGAAATCAGCCGTGACTGATGAGTCGGAGATGTACGACATGATGACCAGGGGCAACCTGGGGCTGCTGGAACAAGCCATTGCCCTGAAAGCCGAGCAGGTGAAAATCGTGCGGGAGCCCAGCCGGCTGCCAGGAGAGCATGTGAAGCACTTCCAGGTGGAGGACAAACAGAACAAACCACTGGACAGCATCCGGAAGAGCTACTATGGCAAAGGTACAGCACAAACCTTTGTGTATCTCCCTCCTTCCTATCCCTGGTGGAAGAGCTGAATTTGTCTGCTCAGCACGGACTATTAGGCTGTTGTGGCGGGAGTTTACAGCCCACAGGGGGAATTCAACTACAAATCCTCAATGCCCAGAGGGATGGGGGCATCCTTGAGGTCAGCAGCGAATGCATAAAATCAGGGCGTCCTTTACACTGTCACAAGGGTTCCTCCCTCAGAGCAGAGGAATTGCTTGGCTAAATTGTCGGTTAACCTTGAAAATCTCAGCCTGTGCAGAAGGGCTGGTTTAAAATCCAAGTGGGTTTTAAAGTAGTGGTAGGATCTAGACACAGAAACACGAGGGCAGGGGCTTCAGCACCCCCTGGCTCTGAGCCAGGCTGCCTGCTCAGACGCTGTGAGGGGCTTCATGCTCCCAGCTGTGTTAGTTCCTCAAATCACTTTGCCAGCTTCAATTTTTGAAACTTACAGTGTTACACTACCAACTCCAAGGAGAAAACCTCCAAACCCATAGGTTTCCCTCTGCTTGACTGGAAAGGTGGCGAGAAGCATCCTCAGCATTTATTTCTACTTCTTCCCCTCTGAATCCACTAACCTGCTTCCTTCTGCCCTTTCCCCACAATCCTTAGATCCCTCAAGACCCGAGAAGAGAGAAATCAAATGTCCAACTCCTGGCTGCGATGGGACTGGACATGTCACGGGACTTTACCCTCACCACCGCAGCCTCTCCGGTTGTCCGCACAAAGACAGGATCCCCCCTGAGAGTGAGTACATGGTGGGATACCAAGGGCTGCTTCAATTAGTCTGGAGCCTAATTTTCTTGGGACAGTTTCTCAAATTACATGAATTTTATGACTGAGTCCCTAGAACAAGTCTGATGTTATTCCTCAGAGTATACCAAGAATGGGATGGTGCTTTTCCAAGTTGATCCTGGATGCTGTTATCCACCAAAGTGTTATCATTAATCACAGGATACATGATGGGGATTTACTTGGAAGTCTTGTCCTTCTTAAAGGATTTTTAGCACCATCCTGTGGAGAATGAGATCCCTTCTCTGAAAATCAAAGAGGGTCTTTAAAAACAGCTTCCCACCTTCAGAGGTGTGTTAAGCAGAGCCCATCTTTACACTGGAAGTAGCATATTTTTCCCTACTTGGGACATCGTGTTGGGAAAAAAGGGATATTATTCCTCCTTGCTGTGCAAATATGGTGCCATGCAGGAAAGAAGAGAAGTGATTCAGTATGTGCAGGATTGCTGAGTCTCCTGTGCCCTAATCACTGCAAAATTCCCAAAGTGCTACACCAAGATTCACCTATTCTACAGAAAATATTTATCATCCTCATAACAGATTTTTGTATATACATATGCACAGAGAGAGATTGTATTTCCACCTCTCTACCAGCATCCTAAATAGCTTTCCATGTATAGCTGCATAAAAATCAATGTTGTATGTTTATGATAATGGCATAATGGACCAAAAGAAAGAGGAGCCCTTCCTTATCAGTAATTTCAAAGTTTGCAGACCTGACATAAACAGAGAACTGGAAGAAACAAGGAGAAAGTACAGCTATCTTCACAGGCTGGAATGCAAGCAAAAATATTAATAAATAACTAACACAAGCTGTAGGCTTTACAAAAGCTTGCAGATCAAATTATTTTCTTTACTTTTAAGGTCAGCACTGCAGGACGCAATAATCCTGAAGATTAAAAATAAAAAAAAAAATCAAACAAAGACTAGTCCTAAGGATAAAAGCAGAGTTACAACTTCAATCATTTAAAACTACCTGAAACTGGAGACCTGGTTCCAAAACAGGGGTGGGGAGGAGGGGCTGGATGGGGAAACTTGATTGCAATCTGAAAATGAGGAGAAAGCCCAAGCTGTGTGCAGAGATGCTAATTTAGTGTTGACCTGGGCACTGCTGCCTTGTAAATCTTTTATTTTTTCCTCTGCAAACTCTAATTACAGCATTTCACATTCCCTGATTTCTAGGAAACCAGCGTACAAGGCTTGATGATTTTCTCTTTTTTTTTTTTTTTCTTCCTCTCTGATTTTTATTAAGTTGTTTTTCTTTCCCTTCCCTTCTCCCCTTCCCCTTCTCGCTCCGAAGTCCTGGCGATGCACGAGAACGTGTTGAAATGCCCCACGCCCGGGTGCACAGGACAGGGTCACGTCAACAGCAACCGCAACACGCACAGGAGGTACCGGCTTTGGCTTCTTCTTACACAGCCACGGGGAGACAGGATGGGGGAATGGCTTCAAAATGACAGAGGACAGGTTTAGGTTGAAAGAAATTCTTCCCTGTGAGAGTGGTGAGGCCCTGGCACAGATTGCTCCATCCCTGGAAGTCTTCAAGGCTGGGTTGGATGGGGCTTGGACCAACCTGGGATAGTGGAAGGTGTTACTGTTCATGGCAGGGGGGGCTGGAATGAGTTGAGCTTTTTCCTTTCCAACCCAATCCATTCTATAATCTATGATTCCATGGTTCTGTGTTGATGAGGGGCAAGGTGAATTTGTCTTTTTACTTGCTCAGTGTGGAGGAAGCAAACACTTTTCTCACAGGCTCAGTACAACTCTGGGTCCATGACATGAAGGTTTTTATGCTCATTCCTCATCCTTGGATTCCTTCTCTCTTTTTCTTCTCCTTCAAAACAACCCCCAACCAACGCTCACAGTTTATCTGGGTGCCCCATTGCTGCTGCTGAAAAATTAGCCAAATCACATGAAAAGCAACAAACCCAGTCTGGTGATCCTGCGAAGACCAGCTCCAATTCTGACCGGATACTCAGGTAAGGGGGACAGGAAGGCTCAGCTCCACGGCCCCACACTGCCCCAGCCCTCCGCGCCCTGCCACGCTCCCAGGAACAGCCACCACGGCTCCCTCCAGCTGTGTCTTGGTACTGCTGAGTCCTGTTACTACCATCGTAGGTCTCGCCAAGGTGGGGAGATATTTAATTGATGATCCCAGGGAGAGCACTGAGGACAATGAATTGCTTCTGTAGCATCAATTAATGCTGAGGCTACAGGCCAAAGGGTTTTAGCAGTGCAGCAGAAGGCACTTGTGCCGATTGCTCCGCAGCACAAACTGCCAGCGAGGGCTGGTTATTATATCAGCATTATAAGTAGGGTGGGCTTGGGGAGGGGGAGGAAGAGGAGGAGGAGATTTAGGCTACACACAAATCACTCCACGGCAGTTGTACATTAAAGTCCACCTGCTTTTCTTCCTTAGCTTGCACGTTTCAGAGGAGAGGAACCTGCCGCTCGTTTCCAAACTGGTCACATTAATTTTGATACTTTGCCCGCTCCCTCTTCCCAGGAGAAAGGGCTGTCTCCCATTAAGGATGTCCCTGATAGATGCTGGCTTCCGTAGCTGATGTGATTCATGAGGCTACAGATGGATTGGAATATGGTTGATTATTTTGCAACGAGAGCAGGATAAAAACTGCAGAGCGAGCCCCGAGCAGCCCTCCCACAAAGGCATCGAGCTCTGATTCATTTATTTATTTGCTCCCCAGGACTGCTGAGCACCCTGGTGCTCCAGCTCTCGCTACTTTGGAAAGGCCATTTAGGGCGATTACTTATTTATTTGCAGCAGAGCCCGCGCAGAGCGCTCTGAGCGCATCACGAGGACAGTCCATGCTCCAAGGAGCTCCCGCTCTGAAGACTCTGGTGGAAAGAGGTCACGGGAAGGAGAATAACAATAGACCATTTATATACAATTTATATGCAAGACAAATTGATTCATGATAGGCAGCCCCGTAGCAGCGGGTCTCTAGGAGGGGCTGAGGCAGGGGAGAGCCTCTGCAATGAACCTGCAGCAGGAGCTGAGCTGAACTGGGGTCCTCACGCCTTTGTGTGCCCCCTTGTGTCACGGGTCCCATCAGGGAGTTCCTGCCCAAGTTTGTTCTCTTCTGGAAAATGCTGCCACACCATGACACCCTGCAAGAACTTTGCGCTTGATGAGGTTGACACCTCGGTGTTTTGCTTAAAAAGAGGGAAAAAAAAATGATAGAAAGGAAAAAATTATGGAGAAAATAAAACTAGACTCTGAGAGATCCAAATCAGATGCAGACTTGCTGAGGGAGAGCAAAAGGGCTGTCACTGCTTCCTCGTCCCCAGTAAGCCTTCAGGAACAAGGTGCAGCTGTGCCCTCATTGTGTCTGGTTCCCTCTCAACAGTCACCTCATCAAGGAAAAGAGAAATAATTGCTGTTCATTGTTTCTTCCTCAGGCCTATGTGCTTTGTGAAGCAACTGGAGATCCCTCAGTATGGAAGCTACCGGCCCAACATGGTCCCAGCAACCCCCCGGGCCAACTTGGCCAAGGAGCTGGAGAAGTACTCCAAGGTCACCTTCGATTATGCAAGTTTTGATGCTCAGGTTTTTGGCAAACGCATGCTTGCCCCAAAGATTCAGACTAGCGAAACCTCACCTAAAGCCTTTAAATGTAAGTTGGGAGCAGGGATGGACTTGGTTTTTGCATTTTCTGCCTTTCTCAACATGTTGTGAGGCTCTTGGGATCGTGGCTTTGGGGTAATGGGAGTCTCTTGGGGCTGAGCTGCTGGACCCTCCTGGGATGGGGAGGGTGAGGTGGATCCCATGGTGGGCACCTTTGATGGTGAGGGGAGCCCATGGCTGTTGGGAAAGCTTTGTTTGGAAGCTTTGGCTTTAGGAAGAACCTCGGTGGGAACATTAATCTGAGTGATGTCTCGAGGTGGGATAAGTTACACAGTTGTCCTCAGTTGGTCCCCGTTGCTTTGCAGCTCATATCTATTGATCTGGCTTTCCTCATCTAGCTAAATGGATTACAGTTTTCATCTCTTCCATCTTATATATGACCCATTCCCCCCATTTGTCTTCCCTGCTGTGCTCTGCTTTCCAGCTCTACCTATCGATCACCCACCTCTATCTTCCAGCTCTTTCCAATCTCAGCCACCCACCTCTGCTCTTTTCTGAGGACCTTGTACTGGTTATAACTCTGGGTGAAAATGAAATGGCTGAATAAACCCTGAGGTTTAACCAAAGGCAAGAGGGACACTGCATGGGGACACCGCCCTTACAAATGTGTTATTTGACACCAACTGTGCGCTTCAAGACATTTATTGAGGGGCACAAAAAAAATATTTAGGAGCCAGTTTGTAGAAGTCAGCAGCCTCAAGAGGGCTTTCTGTCTGGCTAATCCCACTTCCACAATCCTGTTTAATCCTGATGCAGCTGCTCTCTAAAAAAGTGCTCATACTTGAAAGCATCCCGGTTGTTGCACTACAATGGGAGCGCCCTTTATTACAGTACTAAATCTGTACAGGATCAGACAATGAAATTGGATGGAGGCCAGAGAGCACAACTGCCACTGTCATCCTGGGTTAGGGCTGATGGAAAAGTAATTTGTTTCCCAGTACAAGTGATTCTCTCGCTGAATAGATTGTGTTATTTGCAATATTAGCAAAGAATTTTCAGGGTAATTGTACTGACAAAAATAATTCCAGCAGACCCACTAGGATAATCCTTTCTATTTTTTCTCATCACTTATTTCACTAATTTGCTGATTGCGAGTCTATTAGCGGTAGAAATACTTATGAAATGGAAAAGCATCGCTGAGCCTACGGTGTGAAATTGAAATTGGCATCTCCCGATCCTGGATATTGTCAGGTTGGGTTGGCGGATACTTGCGCCCCGCCTCGGAGACATGGATTAAACTGGACAGGAAAACAAGCAGCCAGACACAAGAATAACCATGTGGGCAAACCTCCAATGAGTTAATCAAAGCGACAGGATGAATATGATTGCCAATCATAGCAGGGAAATCTGCTCCTTTCACTGAGAACTTATTTTAAAGAGATCTTCATCCAGAGGGATTTATATTCCCCTGCATGTGTGTGCATAACTCCCATTAATGTCAATATGCATTATATAAGCATGCAATGAGGAAGAAAGCAGTGCTGGGGAAGATTAGTATTTTATAGTGTCTTATATTAGGAGTTTGTAATGGGAATAATGAAATCACTTTTCTCCGTGGCTGCATCAACTGAGGTTGGATTTGTTTTGCCATGATCAGGCCAAAGCTTATGAGTCTTCCCTGGGTGAGCCTCCCACTAAAGGGGGGGATGGTTTCCCCTAGAAAGGGCATGGTGGAATGAATTAAGAATTTGAAGATTTTGATAATTGATTAAGAATACAATCCTGTGACTGCTCTAAATCAGATGATCTCCTGTTTGCACCCACTGAAACCACTGAGGGCCCCTAAATGGGATCAACTTCAAGTTTTATTAATAGGGAATTATTAGTTATTATTAGGGAAAGTTTTATTGTGCATCCACCCTAAGAAATACTTTCATTTCACAGGGTATGAAGAGGGTATGCATCTCCAGGCTGGCTTTGCTGCTGCTGTGACGTACAGGAGCAGAGAAGCAGCGTGGCAATGTTCAGCTGTGCAATAAATTCTGTTACTCTGGCATATTTAAATGATATGTCAGCTGTCAGAAAATCCATATTTCACCAGTGTCATCCTTGGAAGCTCATATTTTATGACCATGTTTTTTCTATTAATGTAATTTTATAAATTTAAAGTTTTCAAACATGCTACTAGAAATCTCCCTGCAGACAAGTTATGGACAGAGAGAGAACAATAAAAAAAGAGCCAGGAGGCTTCTCTAAGCTTTCTCCTTTAACTGCTTCCACCAAGGAGCAGCTCTAATGAAGAAAAGCACTTGTGTTTTTTTGGTATTGATGGCAGAGTCAGTTAATGAATTAACCTTTCACACCAAGCACAAGCTGCAGCCAGCACTGCTCCTGTTGCACGTCCCAGGCAACAAACCAGCCCCTGGACTGGGAATAAACCCAGGAACTGTGCATACATTAACTGTGTCACACTGACTTAACCTTTCCCTGCTGCTCATGCCACTTATACATTAGCCTTGTGTTGTTCCTTCTCTTTTTATTCCAGCCAAACCTTTTCCAAAGGCCTCCTCCCCCAGCCACAGCCCCTCCAGCAGTTACGTGAAGAGCACTTCATCTTCCTCCACAGGCTTCGACTACTCCCACGACGCTGAGGCTGCGCACATGGCGGCCACCGCCATCCTCAACCTCTCCACCCGCTGCTGGGAGATGCCTGAGAATCTCAGCACCAAGCAGCAAGAGGCCCCTGGCAAGGTGTGTGAATGTGGCCAGGAACCACTGCCCAGGGGCCAAACTGGAAATCTGGGGAGGGAGAAACACCTTGGTTTACCCTTCCTTTCATTTTGGTTTTTTTAAATATAGAGGGAATTCAGGCACTCATCCAAAATCACCCTTGTGGCTCCCCACTTTGGGTTTGGAGGAGGGAATCTTGGCTCTTAGAGTGGTGTGGAGGTGCCTCGTGGTTCAAATTACCCATGCGAGATAAGCATCAATCCCAAGCCAAGTCTTGGACTGAGGCTGGATATTAGGATAAAATTATGATTTATGATGGTCAAGCCCTGGAACTGGCTGTCCAGGGCAGTGGTGGAGTCACTGTCCCTGAAGGGATTTAAAGGACATGTGGATGTGGCACTTGAGGACATGGTTTAGTGATGGGCTTGGCAGTGCTGGGTGAATGTTTGGACTTGATGGTCTCAGAGGGCTTTTCCAACCCAAACAACTCTGTAATTCCATGGTTCCCAGAGCTGGTTTCAGTTGCTCCCAGATCTGTATCTGATGCCATTTCAAATTCCCCAACTGTGTCCAGTTTGATCTCCAGCTGTTTTTCAGAGGAACACAGATTTTCCCAAAGTCCCATGGAGCACTCCCAACCTTGGACAAATGTTTCGAATGCCATGAGGCATCCTGATTGGCACTAGATGCCTGTGTTCAATCAGCTGAGTCAAAATGCCACCCTGCTGGTAGTAGAGGGGTGCCTGTGCATGACATGTTCCTGAAATATTTAGGAAAGAGCAACCCTTTTTATTCAGTTCCTCCTACCTGACTGTGGAGAGGATGGGACATGAATACCTTCCCACTGCACTGCAAAAGACAAACAGGGACAACATCCCCATGGGGACTTTCTGGCAGCTGCTAACGTTGGTTGTGTTCCCAAACTTTCAGTCCATGGACATTGAGGTGGATGAAAATGGGACTCTGGACTTGAGTATGAACAAACACCGCAAACGGGAGAGCACCTTCCCCAGCAGCAGCAGCTGCAGCAGTAGTCCCAGCATGAAGTCCCCAGATGTGTCCCAGCGCCAAAACAGCACCAGTGCCACGAGCAGCACCATGACCTCCCCCCAGTCCAGCCAGACCTCCCGCCAGGATGAATGGGATGGGCCCATCGACTACACTAAACCAAACCGCCAGCGGGAAGAGGAGCCAGAGGAGGTGAGAGGTGGCTCTTGATGCTTGAATAACAGCTCAGGGGACACTGAATGCCATGTTTGCCTGCACAGTCATCCTATTTTCCCTAGAACCCCCAGTTTGCTCTTTGAGCCACAGAAAGAAATATTCCTGGCTTTGTCAGTGTGGTCAGATATCAGCCAGGGAAAACCAGGCAGGAAGCAACTGCTCTTGGATTTGTTGGGATGCTCTTGCAAATGAAGAACCCAGCACTTTGCTTGTCCTGGGTCTGCAGTGTTTTCTTCATAGTAAATCCTGTCAGCTCCCTTGCAGCAGTGATGTTTCTCAGGATGATTTATATCTGCCATTAGCAGCTACAGCCCTGCATGGCACCGATATTAATCCTGCAGGTGGGGAATCCAGCCATGACCCCCAGCTGGGGTGAGAGTTCTGGCTCTGAGAGCATCATCTGCCTCTCTGCCCATGGGGAGGCTGCTGAGGAAGAGTGTGAGGGGGTTGCACTGATCTTCATCCCTTCAAGACCGTGGGAAAGCCACGTGTAAATCCCTTTACAGTCGTGGATTACACATTTCTCCTAAAACCCCAGGAAATTACAGGCTGTTGGATCTCTGGGCTGGGTGCTGTGAGGTGCTTGCAGGGGGCTCAGCAGTGCTGGCAGTGCTGCACTAACCCTTAGCTGTGATGGACTCGGGATCCTTTCCCTGCACAGCTCAGCAGCAATGACCACACCACAACTCTGCCCCTTCCCTTGCAGTCAGAGCCTGCTGCTCACTCTTTTGCCTCCTCGGAAGCTGATGAGCAGGAAGTGTCAGAGGAGAACTTTGAAGAGAGAAAATACCCAGGTGAAGTTACTTTAACCAACTTCAAGCTGAAATTCCTCTCCAAGGACATCAAGAAAGAGCTGCTCACGTAAGTCCTGCCTTGTCTCTTCCTCCAAAATCTATTAATATGTACTTAGCCAGGATGGCTGGAAACAAAATTAGTAAATACGTTTTAAAAATAAGAACTGTAGCTTTCTTACTGTGATTGATCTTACTCATCCTCCTACAACTTCTGATCAAGGAGGTAAAATACGTTCCTATATTACTTTGCAGTGGTGAAGGGAAGCTGGATTCATGGACAGGCTTGTGGGAAACTCCTTTCAGAGACATTTTTTCCTGGTATTTTCCTGCAAGAGTGTTTCTGGCATGGTGATGGCACCTACCCAATGTCCTAATCTCCTGTTTTGGGACACTGGCTGATGTTGTGGAGCCAAGAGCACCCAAGGGATCTCAGCACCTTCTTGAAGGGGGTGTTGAACACAAGGTGTCTCATTGAGAAGAGAGGATTTGTTGGCGTGCAGCAATAGCTCCAGCACTGTGAGGCTGCAGGAACACAAAATGTGACCTGAGGCTGCAGCAGGTTTGCTGCTGTGTTGCATTTTGCATTGTAGAGAGACCCTGACCCAGCAAGCACAGACCCAGATCTGCCCTGTTGGATGGAGTATGTGCATCCACACCGATTCCCACAGGAATGGTAATGTCTAGGAGTTTGAGCCAAACACGGCAGCTTGGACCTGGCTCTGGTCTAACAGCATGTCAGAATCAGCCTGGAGGCTGTGATGGGGAGGTTTTCCCTCCCAGGCATCCCAGCTGTTCCTGGCTTCTTTCCTGTGCCTCTGACCCTCCCACACATCACACAGGGAGTTGGTGGGCACCATTTTGCTGATCTCATCCAACTCACTCATTATCTGCAGGCAGGAGGCTGAGGGAGCAGCCAGGGAGGGAGATCTGTGGGGGCAGAGCAGCAGCAGCATCTTCCCCAAATGAGCAAAGCTCAGACCAGCTGCCCTACACAAAGCTCTGCAGGGTTTTTTAAAACCCACCAGTGATGTGAACAGAAATTTCTGAGGTAGAGCCCTGAAGCTCTCCTGTGCTTTAATTTTATTGTGATGGTAGAGAAATGTCCTAAATGGAAACAGCCATGGAATAAAGAAATGGTGTCATGGGCAGCCCTGAGCCTTCCCTCTCCATTTAACATCCTTGTTCCTCTCTGGCCCAAGGGCTGTAATGAATTAGCTGCAGTTAACTCAGGAGCAGACTCACCCGCTGTGTGTGTTGCTGTGTGTCTGGGTGCAGTTCTTGTGCCACTTCCATTCCTCACCTGTATCTCCCCATCACCCCCAGGCACAGCCAGAGGTTACTGTCATTCCCTTTCGGCAGCAAACAGTGTGTGCAAGGTTTTCTTTGCAGCTGTAAGGGCTGGGAAGAAAAAAAAACTTATTTCAGAAAGCTGAAATGTGAAGCACCTTATCCAGATCTGAAATCTGAGCTAGGTGATTTCTGCAGCCAGAGCTTCAGTGTGGCAGGAATCATCCAGCCTGGCAGCAGCAGCCAGGGGTGGCCGTGTCTGTCAGGCCATGGCACCCAGCAGGCTGCTGTCAGTCCCCCACTGCCACCAAACCTAACATCAGCTAAGGGTTTCAAACACTTTCTTTGCCTTTGCCACATTTTTTTCACAGTTTTTTTTCCAGATTGTTTTTAGGATCCTTATGATCCCTTAGAAGTAAAAAGGGAGGAAGGGGAGCTGAAAGGGAAACAGCTGGTTGATATCCATGCAGACATGGAAACACACACCAAGATCTGATGGATGGGGCTGGTGTCGGGGGTCTGGCAGCAGGACTGGACTGAGACTCCCCAGACAGACCCTGAGGGGGCTCTGCTGGCTTTGCCCACCCCTGGGTCTTGGGGAATCCATTCCTTTCCCACACTTATGCTCTTTGTTGTTGTTGTTGTTGCCCAGTTGCCCAACCCCAGGCTGTGACGGCAGCGGACACATAACGGGGAACTATGCCTCTCACCGCAGGTGGGTTGACATTTTTTCTGTGGTTTGAACTTTAAAAACAGCTTTTTTTTTTTTCTTTTGGTATAGTTTGTTACCATGTGGATAGTTTGGTTCTGTTTCCTCCCCCCTTCTGTTGCCCCTTTCCCTCCCCATGCCCCAGCCCTTTTTCTTTTTCCTTTTCCTTTTTTTTTTTTTTTTTTTTCCGCTTATCCAGATATTCCATCTCTTCTCTTTCAGCCTTTCTGGTTGTCCTCTTGCTGACAAGAGCCTCAGAAACCTCATGGCTGCCCACTCTGCTGACCTCAAGTATGTTTGTGCTCAACTTGGAACTCCTTTTTTTTCTTTATTTCCACCCTTTTTTTCTCTCCTCTCCCTTCCTGCCCCCACACCTCTTGCTCTGCTTTTGCTTTTCCATCCCCTCCCTTCTCCTTTCAAAGAGCTGATCAAAACCTGCCTGTGAGGAGCTCTGGTGGAGTCCAGCTTCCAGCTGCTGTGTTGAAGAGGCAATGGCTTTGAGGAAGGATAATTTTGGGGAGGGGGCTGATGGCAGTGATTGGAAATAACTTGGACACCTGGCAGGTTTCCTCTGGGCACTGTAGACATGTTATTTTCTTTTTCACTTGGCATCTTTTCCCAAGCTCTTGTCGCCTAATTTGGGCCATAACCCTTTCCATTTAACATTTTTGTCAATCTCAAATAATCCAAAGCCTGGATTTATTTTTGTGTAGAGACACAGCTGGGAACTCACCACCAGCACACAGCCAAGACAACTCTTTTGAAGAACCTGGGATGCTATTTTTATGCTACTTTTAGGGGCTGTTTAGGATGTAGTGAGAGAGGTTCCTCTTCATTTCCATGATTTGTGAGGGAATGAAAGAGGGAGTGAGCAAATGCTTGGTGATAGCTGCCATGGTGACAAGGGCAGATCCCGTGCCAGTGGTCAAGGGCTCACAGAAATCCAAACTTCCCCATTCCCATTGCTGTTTCTGAAAGGAGGAACCTGGTTTTGACATTTTTATTCAGGTATCTTCCTCTGAATCCCATATTCAGCTTTGCTGCTGTCTTCTCCTTTTCAGCAGGAGCTTGTTCTTCAAAGGTGGGTTTCCCAAACACTCTCTTAGGTTGCCTCCCCTAAAGAAAGGTGAAACTGTATTTATCTGGGAGCACTGGGGAGACCTCAACCCTCTCCAACCAATCTGCATCTCTGGGGTAGAGCCCATTGTGATTTTTTTTTTAATCATCTCTTTCATGGGCCCAGCCTATCCTTGCAGGCTGAGTCTCCTCTGAGGTCCCTGAATTTGCTGAATCCAGTTTCTGGATCATTTAGACCCAGAGCTATTCCTAACTACAACTGAGGAGCCTCCACTGAGAGTAAAGCCTCACAAAGGGCTTCACATTGCACAGTCACCATGAAAAAACCCCAAAAGTGCCGTGTCCTGTGTGGTGAGTGGGCTTCCTGGAGCCATAGGTGAGTCAGTGGCAGCCCCACTGGTCACTAAGGCCCCTGTGGTGGCTCCTGGACTTCTCTGTGCCCCACCACCAGTGTGGGGCTGGTGCCAGGAAAAGTTAGTTAACCACCTGCTCCTTACCACAGAGGTGGCAGGATTAGTTGATATAAATAGAATTTGCTGGTGGATGGCAAGGACTGCTGTGATTAGTGCTAAGTACACTTAATCACGCACTACAGACCATACACATTTTGAAAGGACCTCTTCAAAGAGCTTTGCTGAACTGGTGTTTCTCCAACAGTTTGAAAGAATAGCCAAGTGATCAGAAAATTGGTGTTAAAGATGTTAAAAGCTCTCCAGAGCAATGGCCATTCCCAGTAAGGGCCAGACAAAAGCTCACCCCTGAGCACCCATCCCATTGTGTCCAGCCTTGCTGTGCAGCATCCCATGTTCCCCTCTGGCACCCAATGACAGAGCTTTTCATCAAAATAGTGTGCAAAACAGGAGACTTCTGGCCCCCAAAAAAGCTTGTTAATATTATTTCCTCAAATACCACTTTTTTTTTCTATGTCCTGGTGATGATGGGAGCAGAGGAGGGAGGAAGGGATTTTGAGATATTATAGATTGCACAGTCACAGCTTTTCAGAACTCCTGATAAGACCATGTCAGTGTTTCTATTATAAATTCTATTTCAGGGGTTAATATCCCTGATATAAAAAAAATAGCTCCCGGCTGGAACATGCAATAAAAGGTCTCTGTTGGTATGATTTGTCTCTAGATAATTAAAAATAAAAATCAAATTACTTCTCTCTCCTCTTTAAAAATCCTGAAAGGAAGAAAGAGTTTGGCGTTAGTATTTTCACAATTTCCTCCCACCCTGAAGCTAGAACAACAGAGAAATAGTTTTGCTTTCTACTGTAACAGTGTAGAGCTGGGAAATATCACAGTCATCTCCCAAACCTGTAATTTCTAAACGAGCTGAAGAATTTGCACCCTCATTGAGGTCCTGCTGGATGTGTCCTGCTCTTACTGCATCAGACCTATGTGCACTTATGTTTTCCTGACCCTGAACCTCCCTGTTACCCCTCTAGGACCAGGACATGTCCCTGCTCTCCTACCTAAGGTGAGATGCCAAATTTTTTTGCCAGTGGAGATTATTCAGTGACCTGCAAATGTCAAAGTCTCCCTCAGAGCTGCTGCAAAGAGGAGAATTTTGGTATTTTCTGAACAAAAAAAACCCCAAAAAACACACACACACACAAAAAAAGAAGACTTTTAAGAAAGCTGTTTTCCAAGCTGCCAAACTAAAGTCACCTGTGGAAACCATTGCTGCACTGACTCTCAGGGGGCAGAGCACCAGTGCAGAACCACGGAATAGTTTGGGTTGGAAGGGACCTTAAAGGGCAAACCCCCTGCAACGAGCAGGGACATCTTCAGCTACATCAGGCTGCTCAGAGCCAGCTTTGGGGAAAGCATCTTGCCTTTTCCAAGGGCCCTGACCTTGGGAGCTGCCTGTGCATCACCACATTTCCCATCATTTCACTGGCATGTCCTGGAGACACCAACCAGTCATCCCAACCGGGCACTGGTGGCTTTAAGAACAGGAATGGAGAAAGTGGGGACACTGAAAGCCGCTCTCCTGAGGAGAACGGGTGCTCTGCAAGCTCTTGGATGTGCCCTGAGCTTTGCTCAGCATCTCCCGCTCGTCCTGCGGCAGCCTCTCCATCTCCTCCCCACACCCTCTCCCCTTCATCACTTGACTCAAAAAGCCCTGGCTAATTGGCAGGCTGGCGTGCACATCCTCTGCAAACACTCCTCGCCTCTCTTCCTTGTCCCCATGACAACTTTTATGTCCGCTTCGTCCCCTACAGCACCGGGAGCAGATCTTTGTGCTGTGGCGCTTCACATCCCCTCACCGCCCTGGCTCTGAGCCCTTAATGATGTGCTGCTTAACTCGGGCCATTATCTTGGTGCTGCTGGGTGGGCTCACAGCCCCTGCCAGCCTTTGTGCAGCTTTGGGTGATCACAGCAGCCATCCCGAGCCTTTGCTGGATGCTCACCTGGAAACTCGGGGCCGTGGATGCTCCTTCAGAGGTGACTTTGTAAGGCAGGGCTGAGGACCGAGGGCAGACCCTGCCCCAAAAGCCAGCATGGTGACCTGGTGAACCCTGTGGTGACCTCATGTCCCCTTGCTGACTGCCTGTCCCCTGCCCATGCTGTTGTGGAAGGAGGGGACCAGGGCTCATCTAACCTTTTCCCTCCTGTTTCTTCATCTTATTCCATCAGAGGCATTGGCCACGTTTGCAGTCTGTGAGCCCTCCTGCCATGGGCTGCCCGTTTGCCCTCACTGAGATTTTTGCTCCCCAAGTCACCAAGACCTGACCCTGGTGGTGGCCATGGTGGCCCTGCTGTCCAGAGCTGTCAGCTGCTTTTCTGGTTTCTTGTCTCTGCTTGGTTCCAACCTGCTGGCCCTGGATGGCCCCAGCTGTCTCCTTATGCCTTCCTTAAGATGACAAACACTGTCCAGGAGGGATATTTTAGCTCATTATCATCTCCTGAGGTGGCCCCTGCACAAGGGTGGGGACACAGGCTGGGAACTGTGTCTCCCCATGGGAGAGCAGCCCCTCACTGTGCTCCCAACATCCCACAGATGTTCCTCTCCAATGCCACATCATGCATTGACTTCAGTACCATGGATATTACAGACCAAACCTTGTCCTTGCAGAGGGGGAAGGGGCAGGAAGGAGAAGCCTGCTCCTGTGCTGCCAGTGCCCAGATTTCTCTTTGAGAAGAGCTGTCACAGAGTGTCAATCCCCTGCTCACAACCCCAGGCTAACCTGAGCCTCCTTTGCCTCTGCAGGTGCCCTACTCCTGGTTGTGATGGCTCTGGTCACATAACAGGAAATTATGCATCGCATAGAAGGTAAGATCTTCCTTAAATTATTTTCTCTCTAGCCTCTTTCTGTGTTGTTGCTTTTTTTTTTTTTTTCCCTGCAGTGGGCAGAGTTGTAAAGTTCTGAATAAAACATTAATGTTACTGACAACTGAAGCCTATTTTCATCTCTTTAATCTGACTTCTTTTTTTTTTTTTTCTGATGTTTCCAGCATCTGATTAGAAGCTCCTTTCAACAGAATAAAAGACAAAGGGTCAGATTTTAGCTGATGCAATGTTCCTGTTAATATTGCTACCTATTTATGACTTCTATTATCACTTTAGAACATTAATAGCAGAGATCTGAGCCTTCTGTTTCAACAATTCCATTAAACATTGCAAGCTGTTAGCAGATATCTTCTTATCTAGACACCATTAATTACTGTCCATCTCCCTCAATTTTTTACTATTTTTTTTCCTTCTGACTTCTCCTCGTGATGTGAAGCTGCAAAACGAGAGAGATCAAAAACACTGTGCCAAATTCAAGGGAAAGATGACTGAAGCAGGGGAATAGCAAATGCAGAGATTCTGCCAGTGAGACAGGCCTTTCTTCTCTTTTTAACCACAGTCTGTCAGGCTGCCCTCGTGCCAAGAAAAGTGGGATCAAGATCACCCCGACAAAGGATGACAAAGAAGACCCAGAGCTGATGAAGTAAGTCTGGAAATAACTCCTGAACAGAGCTTGTCACTCCATCCACTTTGACTCACACAGATTTACGTGGGGGATCAGCACCCACCCCACATCCCCCTCGCTCACTCTGCTTTGGGCATCCTCTGCCAAAGCTCTTTGCTGTGTTCTGGTGTTGCAATTTTGATGTTTGATGGAAAAATTGGGTGGTGGGGAGGTAATGGTGTAGCTTTCTTGCAGGTGTGAAAGGTAGGTTGGCAGGGCACAAACAGTTTCTCTGCTCCCTGTACTTTGTATAATTCCTGGAAAGCCACACTGGTGTTGTAAATGATGGTAAAATCCCAAGTCAAGCCAAACATTGCAGGTTTTTGGGAAGCAGTGGGCAGGAAAGGGCTGATGGACTGGCTTATCTGCCAGGAGCAGATCAGAAGTAGAAACTACCCAGCACTGAGCTGGGTCAGGATCTGGTAATCCTGAATAAGTTGTGTTGTGTGGAGTCTTTGCCAGGGCAGAATATTCTAAGTGAGCTGAAAAAACCTTTCTCTGCTGCCTCAGGCTGAAGTTTTCGAAACATCCCAGGGGGTTTACTCCTGTGGGGAATAGAGATTTGAAATTACCTAGTCCACCTCAGGAGTTTTCATGAGCTGTGAAATCCATTTGTCCTGACTTTTAGCAAGTCTGAACATCACAGGCTCAGCATGTGGGGTCTGGGATCTGTATCTCCTTACACAGCTACAGGACATGAAAGGCAGCACTGACTCCAGGACCCTATATATTTTAGTTACCTCAGAGCATCCCCAGCCTTTCTGAAGCCTGTACACTCACCCAGCAAGTGCAAGTGGAAGGGGGTAAAGAAGAAACATGGAAAAAAATTATCAACCACTTCTAGGAGTTTCTGGTTGCCCATGAGCACTGGCATATCTGTCCAAAACCCTTGACTCAGCAGACTGTCTCCAAATGGACCTTTTTTAAAAAATATTTTACTCCCAGGGCAGGTCTTGCCCTCGCAGAGGAGCAGAGGTGGATCTCTCCATGTGCCCAGGTTTTGGCCTGGAGAAGAGGCTGAGCCAAAGTGGGACCCAGAGAGGGTGGAAGAACCTGCGGGGGCTGTGGGAAGCTGGGATGCGCCTGCTGGGGGGGAAGGACCTTTCAGAAAAAGATGATATTTGAGCCATCTGCTCTGTTCTTCCTCCTCAGTCTACAGGAAGGAAAGCCTCCCAGTTAAATGAGCCGTGTGGTAATTAGCAGGAGTTAGCAGAGTTTATTAAAAATTAAGCAACCTACTTGAGAAGCTGCAGGAAAAAAGCCTCTTTTGGCTCAAACACACTGAATTGCTGGTGGTGTTGCAATGCTGTGCCATTAACCAGGGACACAGGGATGGAAAGGGCAGGCTGCAAATTTCTGATGTGCAACTGCTGGCTGTTGTACCTTTGCTCTCAGCATGTTTGGAGCCCCCAGTGGGGAGGTCACCCCTCCCCATGGTTTCCCCAGGGACTCGTGCCCTGTGGGGCTGGGGAAGCTGTGACTTTGCTCATTTGTGCCTTCCCCATTCAGGGCAGGACAGGGCAGGAATGTGCCAAGCAGTTTCCCCACTGTGGTTTCTCTGCACAGAAATCACTTCCCAGTGCAAGGAGAAAGGAGTTTTTGTGTGGCTGTTTTATTATGGGGAACATGGGGTGGGCTGGCAGGACACCCACAGCAGAGTGAGGGTCCCCACCAGCATCCTCACCAGGGGCTGGGTTTCTCCTAGTCCATCCTAAAGATGCAAACACTGGGAAGATAAAGTTGCAAGGAATCATATAATCGTTTGGGTTGGAAGGGATCTTAAATCTCACCTCATTCCAACCCTCTGCCATGGGGTGGGACACCTTCCACTAGACCAGATTTCTAAAAGACCCATCCAGTCTGACCTTGGACACTTCCAGGTGTGGGGCATCCATAGATTCTCTAGGTTCCAGGCTCCAAATGGGGTAGGAGCATCACCAAAGCTGGATTTTCTGACTCCTAGAAAGCTGGTGCTACCCACTCCCAGACAGGTCTTGGTGGAACCATGGACATGGGTGCAGGAAATGTGGGATGGGCTGTGAGGGTCTCTGCAGCAGCAGGATGCGAAGGCTTCCCCTAACATTCCATGGCCCAGACAGCAACCCCCTCCCCTCCAGCACACCCAGCAGGAGCAGAAGCTCCTCTGAGACGTGCAAAACAACGTGGCACAACAATCCCTGGCTGGTGCCTTCCCCCAGCCTGTGGAAGTGTTTGTCCCACCACCCACGGCAAGGTGTGCCTGGTGGGGGTTTATCTTAAGGAGCTTTGGCTCTAAATCCTTCCTCTGTCTGCACCGAGCTCCGCTTGGAACCCGGCCGAGTTTTGCACTTCGTCACCGAGGAGAAAGTCATTTAGTCCCTGTTGTTTGTGCTGTTCATCCTTCAAGTAATTTGCTGCAGACGTGATTGAACAGATTACCTCAACCTTCAGCCCAGCCCATAGAGCGGGAGCATCCACAGGTGTCTAATGGATCAAACACTACTGGTGCTCCCATTAAATAATAATAATGTAAAAAAAAATAATTTAAAATATGTCCAAGACAGCTGTTTTGCACAATAAGGCTCTGGTTTATTTTTTTAACAATGAAAATGTAATAAAAGTTAAATTAACGGTGTAAAATATGTAATGGTTGGGCTGTAACGGCTGCATACGAAATGCTGGGGTCTGTCACTTTCTCTCTTGCTCTTCCCCCCTCTCCCCCTTCTCCTTTTCCTCCTGAGGATTCAGTAATTTGCTCGTGATCATATAAAAGCAATGATGTTATGAATTTACTGAGGATCCTGCTGGCAGGGATATTATAAGTGAATTGTGCTGCATTTGCAGCTGATTAAAATCGAGATCAGCATTTTTCAAATTATCTTGGGAAAAGGCTGGGTGTAGGGCCCCCCCCTTTTGCTGTCATCTCCCTTTTGTGTGGAATGTAAACAATCAGGGCAATAATTTCTGTGGTGAAACGCAGCTTGTGATTTTCAGGAGCAGCTCTACGAATGCTTTTGCTGGAGAGACTCAAAGTCCCTAATTGCTTCCAAACTGAGGATATGGGGGTTATTTTTGTCTTTCCTTACCTCTTTCCACCTCCCCTATTTTTGAGCAACCTCCCTTGAGTAATAAACTTTTAACTGTATTTATAATTGGCAAGCATTTTTAAAACAAATGCAAACCACAGGAGAAACCCTGATGGATAAACTGGGCTTGCAGGAGGCTGGATTTAGGAAGAATGCCATTAGGTGAGGAGGGAGGAAAAAGGTGCCTTTTAGAGAGCCACTGGTGTGCTTGGCAGTAGCACAAGTTGTGTTGGTGATTCCACAAGGCTCCTCGCAGCTCCCGTGAGTTTCAACTGGCCATAAAGAGGCAGAAGTCTGGTAAGGGCAGGGCTCATGTGCTGTCTTGATGATAATTCCCACTTTATCCCCTCGAGAGCGTGGGTTGATCTTCCCAGAGAAGCAGGATGTGAAGGGGGAGGCAGGCAAGGCCATGCCGTGGCTGCAGGGTGTGTGATGGCTCAGTGATTTGTCCTGTCTGATGTGATGCAGGCTCAGAAATCCCTCGGATCCCCTCCTGGCAGGAACAGGGCTGCAGCTCTTTGTGCACAGCCTGAACAGCTCCTGGCCCAGGGACTGGCTCCTGGGGAGAGCTGTGTCCCCAAGGGCACAGACAGTGCCCTTGAGGGTCAAGGGTGATAAGAGATGGGCCTGGGTTCATCAGCAGTGACACCCGGCAGAGCCAGCAGTACGTGTGTGATGGTTCAGTGTGGCTGTCAGCCCTGGGGTACACAGGATCCCATGTCAGACAGCCCAGCCTGCCATTTTTGTCCCCAGTAAGGCACCAAATACCTGGTTCCTGACACCACTGGGACCTACTTTTGCTGTGTGTGATGTGACCTCCACAGACCTCCCTCCTGCAGAATTCTCCTTGATTCTCTTTGGCTCTCTTGAAGGAGCACTCTCAGCTCTTAATTTCCCATCTGCTCTTTCCATCAACCAAGTACCTCCCCTGTTAAACTCCAGACGAGACCCAAATGCAAATGCTCTCTTCCCAGGCTTCCTCATTCCTGCTCATCCATAATTTCCTTACACCTTTATTCCCTCAATCTGTTCCTTCCTCTTGGCTGCCGCGCTGTAACGTTGTGTGATTCCCCAGGTGTCCGGTCCCGGGCTGCGTTGGGCTGGGACACATCAGCGGCAAGTACGCGTCTCACCGGAGCGCCTCGGGGTGTCCTCTGGCAGCCCGCAGGCAGAAGGAAGGATCTCTCAACGGCTCCTCCTTCTCCTGGAAGTCCTTGAAGAATGAAGGCCCAACCTGCCCCACCCCAGGCTGTGACGGTTCTGGCCATGCCAACGGGAGCTTCCTCACTCACAGGAGGTAAATCCCAGGGTTCAAGTCAGTGTGAGTGTGATGGTTTTGCTGTGGACAAACTTACCTGCCCCAGGATGCTGCTTGAGCAGCATTCAGCTCCTCATGCAAGGCTCAAGAACTGGTGGTTTTGATGCTGAGCTCAGTCAGGCTGAAGTTTACTGAATAGAGAAAATGTGCGGTTGTTTTAATATTCACAGAATCACAGAATGGTTTGGGTTGGAAGGGACCTTAAAACTCAGAATCTCATTCCAACCCCCTGCCACAGGCAGGGACACTTTCCTCAAGACCAGGTTGCTTCAAGCCCTGTCCAACCTGGCCCTGAACGCTTCCAGCAATGGGGCAGCCACAGCTTCTCTGGGCAACTCTGGCCTCACTACCCTCACAGGGAAGAATTTCTTCCTAACCTCTCATCTAAATCTCTGTTTGCATGCTGGAACAGAATTTGAGTACTACAAATAGGAGTTTGGTGCCCAAGACAACCAGACTCATCTCACCCTCCACACCTGGCACACCTCCTTTTTCAGGAAGCAATGTGTTTTTAATCTTTGCTTAAAGAAAATTGCTCCCACTTTATAAATGGGGCATTTTGTGGCATTATTCATAAAGCAATTTCCTCTGTACCATAAAAAGCTTTCAGAAGAACTGTCTCGCAGCTTGAATTCCACCAAATGGCACATGCTCTTATGTTGGGTACGTAAGCACCTATAAATACTGAGAGTTTATGAAACCCATTTTTACTTGTTTTTCAGTTTGTCAGGGTGTCCAAGAGCTACTTTTGCTGGCAAGAAAGGAAAACTCTCAGGGGATGAAATTCTCAACACAAAGTTCAAGACCAGCGACGGTAAGATTTTTCACTCCTTTGCCTTGCAGGAGTGTCAGGGTATTGAGCCCATAGATCTTTTTCTTTTTAGACTGGGGAGGTTTCAGCTGAAATCTGGGCACAGGTTTCAAGGACATCATGAACTTTGAAGACCCATTCCTTGTGTTTTCTGGTGTTTGTGGTGGCATGGTACCTGTCTCACTCCTTGAGTCACACATTTTAAGGGAGCAATAATAAAGAAGGCAAAAGAAGTAATGCTGAAATTTAGATTTTTTTTTTCATATATTCACTGGCATTTTTACAAATCCCTTGCAGTCATTCAGCAATTTTCACCTATTCAGGGCTTTTAATACTGAGATATTTCTGGATCTGGAATTTTGTTAGCGATGGCACTTTGCATTTCCAGGACTATTACTGAGCATTCTGTGGTATTTCACAAGGTTCAAGCATTGAACTTGATCGTTTGGAACCTATAAATACCTGCACTCCTCTAGAAATATTGCTTTATTTTATGGACCTTGTAATTTCTCATCAAGACATGTATTAGTTTTTTAAATGGCATCATTCCAAACTCAGGACTGGAGAGAGTGACCTGACTGTTCAGGACAATCAACCTTGCCGGGTGTGGGGATGTGTTGGAGTCCAACTGCTCTGCTGTCCTTTGCTTTTGCATTTACATATTGACCTGTTCAAGTATCATTGAACTGTGATAATAAAAATATTAATTATAAAAAAATAGGGAAAAAAAACTGGCAGGTGAGAGGTATGACTGGTTTTGAGGCTGTAAAAGCCAAGGTAAGGACAGTGCAGGCAGGAAGGGCTCAGCAGAAAGTTCAACACTTTTGCTCTCCCCAAGAGCATTTGTTGACTGCCCATGACCTTCCCTCCTGCAGTTCTGGAGAACGATGAGGAGATCAAGCAGCTGAACAAGGAGATCAGTGAGCTGAACGAGTCCAACTCGGAGATGGAAGCAGCCATGGTGAAACTCCAGTCCCAGGTTGGTGTCCTTGGCCATGCATTCAAGCCCAGGGGTGCAGGGTGTTAGGGGTACCCCTGCTGAGGGTTGGTAACCCTGCCGTGCTCCTTGCTCCACAGATCTCCACCATGGAGAAGAACCTGAAGAACATTGAGGAGGAAAACAAAATCATAGAGGAGCAAAATGAAGCCCTGTTCCTGGAGCTCTCAGGGTTGAGCCAGGCTCTCATCCAAAGTCTTGCCAATATCCGCCTTCCACACATGGTAAGAAACTTTGACAGTGCTCAGCTCAAGCTGATGTCATCGAGGCAGCTGTGCCAAACCCAGTTCACGATAAGGCTTTTTCACAATTAAAGACTGGGAGAATTTCTTTCCATACACCTATGTGTCCTTTGTAAGATCACTACTTTTCCCTTATCTCTGAAGCTTGCATTATATCTCCCTTTTGTTGTCATTTTCTGCTGATCTCCCTTTGTATCTATTGTTCTGTCTCATTACATCTGGGAGCACTATCACAAAATAGGAAACTTTATCAAGGGCACCCAGTGCCTTTTAGGCTAAGACAGCACAAGCAGAGATCAGGAGGGATTGGATTTCAACGTCAGAAAGATCTTAGAGCTCCCATTATAATGCAGGTAGTTTCAATTGAGTTTTGAATAGCTGGCAGCTAAAGAATAGCATTCTTAAAGAGAGTGTATTTTGTTTAATTTAACAAGGTCTAACAGCCCACAGCATGTTACCATAGAGTTACTGAGAAATGAAAAGACTGCATTAAAATAGTAAAACCACAAAAGGCTATTAATTACCTTCTTTCTATTCCCAGGAATGTAATTACTGTTGTCAAAACCAGGTGTGAGGAGGTGGGGCTCGTGTTGTTGAGGAAGCTGTCCTCTTACAACTCAGAAAGACCATTGCAATGATCAGAGGAATGAGCTTTTGATTTATTTTTTCTTCCACCCCTTTTTTTCCTTTTTCTTTTTTTTCGGGAATCCTTTTCATTGGGGTTTGTATTTAAATTCAGGCTGGTTGGAGAGAAGCCACCCTCCAGCAGAGCAGTTTTGGATAGTATTCACCCAGCTGCCTAACTGGCAGAAAACCACTCGCTGAGAGCTTTTTTGTCAAGTATTTGACACATAAAGGTCAAATAAACTGTTCAGCAAATATTTTTTCAAGGTTTCAGGCAACTCTAATTAAATGATGCCCATGAGACTTTTATGCTCATTTTACTCCTGTTCTTTTTCTTCCATTTCCCTCTCTTTTTCCCCCCATTAAGCCCAAGTTAGATACCTGCAATGCCCCTCGAAAGCAGGAGCTGTGCTGCAGCAGAGCTGGGCTGGGCAGCTGTGAGCCCAAGGTGACCCAACCTTGCCTTTGGTTCGCTTCGTGATGTTTCAGCAGTCCTGTCGTCCTCCAGCCCTTCATTTCCATGCCTTAATTCAGCCTCCAGCCTGTCAGGCTGCCTGCACACACTTAACCTGGTGCTGTTAATAGCCCCACAAGGCCAGTGCATAAAATTAAGGACCTGTTTAAGATCTGGCGGGATTAGGGCAGTGATGAGATTCCTTTAGATGCAGCACTGCGGACAAAAGGGCTTTGACGTGGAGACCTTTGGCTGTCTGTACATACAGAGAATCATGGAATTGTTTGGGTCAGAAGGGACTTTAAAACTCACACTGTTCCAGCCCTCTACCATGGGTTAGGACACCTTCCACTAGACCAGGTTTCTCCAAGCCTGGTCTTGAGCACTTTCAGGAATCCACAACTTCTCTGGTCACTGAAATACGCAGATGATTTATTACAAAGACTCTCATTCTCTTCCTGTTCTCCCACTAACACTTTTATATTTGGCTTTTTTTTTTTTTTTTTTGACTGCAGGAGCCAATTAGTGAGCAGAACTTTGATGCCTATGTGAACACTCTGACAGACATGTACACCAACCAGGAGTGCTACCAAAACCCGGAGAACAAGGACCTGCTGGAGAGCATCAAGCAAGCCGTCAAGGGCATCCAGGTGTAGTGCCGTGGGATGGAAAGCAGCAAGCAAACAGACTGTAAGATGGAACCTCCCCTCCAAGTATTCAGGTTTACAAGTTAGGAAACTTGTCTAATGAATGAAAAAAATGAAAAAAAAAGGACCAAAATGTAACCAAGAGGCCATTTCTGAGACATGGAACTGATCAAACTCAATGTTCTCGTTTACTTAACTTTGGACCTTCTTGAGAAAAGTGGGAATTTTTCTACTTGGACTACAAGGTAGATCAGGATGGAAGGTTAAATTCTCCAGTAGGCTGTGGGGCTTGGTAGCAGGTGAAGAGCAGGCATCATCCATGAGTTGTCTGCTCTTGCAGAATTGATCCAAGGGTTAAAATGTTACAAGAACAGGGTCTTGTCTGATCCAAGACTAGTGTATGACTGGCTTAAACCCTCATGTTGTCTATGGTCGTATGTCCAGATCACCTACTCACACATGAGTTATGTTCTGTGTTGCTACAAGTGCTGGAGCTGCAAGCTACCTGTAAATCTGAACCTGTGCTGGGCCTCCCAACCCCGAAGTGTTCAGATATCCACTGGGCATGGGAACTCTGAAGTATTATAAAGTAGCTTATTTTTATTTTCTGAAAGAAATCCGAAGAGCAGTTCTGGATCTCCAGTGGAAAGCGCAATGGAAAAAAGGTTCTCAGGGAAGCTTTTGGAGTTTGCAACTACAGTATTCCTTTGTCTGTCTTAAATATGAGAGTAGCTATTATGAATAGGCCAATTCCAGATATTTCAAACAGAAGAATTTCTTTAATGTGTCATGGTCCGGTGTATATGATTTTTTGGAAATCCGTTTGATGACAGTTCTGGTTCTTTTCATTATTGTGATCATCCCTACAGTGGCGCAGTACTGCCAGTCCAGAGATCATACATCAATGCCAGAGAAGGGTTGAGATTCTGATGAACAAAGCAAAACAAATCAAATAAAAAAAAAAGCAAAAACCAACAAAAAGAGAGATGTTAATTGATGGCCAGCAAAGTGCTTACGTACCGTGAACCAGGAGTTGATTCCTTACATGTATCCACAGGGCAATGAGGATGGTTTGGTTTGGTGTTCTAGGATTTGCGTGAAATCGCAGCATGATCGCCATACTACAACACAAAAAAATATAAAAAAAGAAAAGGAAAAAAAAAAAGAGCATTCAGGTATTGGGAATTTTTCCAAAGAAGCAGTTCTAAACAGCTGGGCACACGCAGCCCTCTGTGCACTTAGAGAACAACTCTTTGAATGTCTTTGGGGTGATGCTCTGCAGCACTGCTCCATGGCCAGAGCCGGCTGTCACCCCACGGGGCTGCTCCTCACATTTGCTCCCATCCGGAGCTCGCTTCCTTCTCCAAACACTTCAGTGGGGAAAACCCCCCCCGAGGGACCCCGGCGTGGGAGCATCCCACATCCCATATCCTGTATCACTCCCAGCCGTGGGGCAGGCAGAGCTGGGGAGGATCTTGTTGACCCCAACAAAAGGCAAGAGTGTGGTGTCATTTCGAGCCAAATCCTGCAGATATTTAGGGTATAATTCCCAATTTGGAGAAGTCAGTGGAAAGTCCCAGTGACTACCATGGCTACTGGATCTGGCCTGGAAGCCCATGAGTGGCTTGATTGGAGTTGATCCCTGTGTTAAGTTCCATAGGGCAGCTGGCCTGGGTGGGCTTGCTCCCACACTTAAGTGTTTGCAGGATGAGACTCCACGAGTTCACTTATTTTAGAACCCATTCCAAGTGCAAAAATGCAAAAAAAAAAGGGAAAAAAAAGTATAAAATTTGAGGTGTTAAAAACACAATGTTCTTAACATGTAAATAGAGTCCAAATTGATTGTGACTGCAATTCAGTTAGTATTTAAAAGTAGAGAAATTGCACTTACTGGAAGAAAGAGAAGAAAAAAAAAGTAGTTAGTTTAATTATCCTGTAAATTATTTAATTTTGGCAAGATGTATGTAATTTATATTTACAACACCTTATGTTAACTTTTTGCTATTTATTTAACTTTTTTATTTATTAATTTTATACTTATTTTAAACTGGACACTGCACCATAGAAATGAAGATAAAAGAAGCAAAAAAAATTTAAAAATTAAAACTTTTGACCATAAATATGATATTCCAAAAAAAAGAAAAAAAAGAAAAAACCCCTATCTACAACTCCTACTTGTAATTTTGATGCAACCAAGTTATTTTTTATATATTTTGTTATTTATTCTTTTAATGATGGGAATTTTTTTAAAGATATTTTATAACTGAGACATTTTGATAATTTTTTGGTTTGTTTTTTTGTGGGGGCAGGGGCACTGGGGGAAGAGAGACTTTTTCAGTTTTTCTTTTCTTTTTCATTCGTATTGTTTCAGGCACTGATAACAGGAAATAAAAATTCTGTATTTATTATTTATTTAATATTTAAGTCGGGAAAAAAATGAACTGTGCTCTTGTTGTATATTTATTTTGTCGTTTGTGTGTTGGTTATGTGATGACTGAGTACTTGTTTATGTGAAGGAATACTGTTAATATTTAAATAATAAAGAGTCACATTGAAAGTTATAGCAGGCTACATGTTATTCTGTGAAAACGAATACTGTGATCTACTTTCCTCAGGAAATGTATTTTGCAGACAGAACTTCCTTATGTACTGGCAGGGTTATTTCATAATAAAACCCAGTTCTGTTTGTGACTTTAGTTCCTATGGTCTTTCTTCGAGCTGCTGCCAATGTGTCCCCACTGGGCTTTGTCCTTGTCCTGCACCATGGCTTGGGGGTGGTCAGTGTGGCCCCGCTGACCTGAAGTTCTAGCCAGGGACTGTTCACCTCCCACCTGGCTCTTCCCACCTCCTGAGCTAGGAGATTTCAGGGGAATTTAGGTTTGGTACCTCTGAAGGCTTTGGAGAACAAGGAGCTGCCACCATCCAGTCAGGCAGGTGCTTAAAATCCCACCAGTGCTGTGATGGGAATCAGAAGTCCCAGGAAGGCTGAAGGCAGAATTCCCCTGGGCAGGACTTTCCCCCTGAACCCCCAGTGCTCCACATGCCCACAACTCTACTGTGGAGACAGGCTGAGAGAGCTGGGGGTGTTCAGCCTGGAGAAGAGGCTCTTCCAGTGTCTGAAGGACATCCAAGAGGTAGAGAGGGACTTGGGGCAAGGGCGTGGAGTGACAGGACAAGGGGGATTGGATTCACACTGATAGAGAGCAGGGCTAGGTGGGATATGGGGAAGGAATTCTTCCCAGTGAGGATGGTGATGTGCTGGCACAGGGTGCCCAGAGCAGCTGTGGCTGCCCCATCCCAGGAAGTGTTCAAGGCCAGGTTGGGCAGGGCTTGGAACAACCTGGGACAGTGGAAGCTGTCCCTGCCCATGGCAGGGGGTTGGAATGAGATGGTCCTTAAAGTCTCTTTCAGTCCAAACCATTCTAGGATTTCATGATCTTGTGGTTTTGTTCTCCCACAGGTGCTGTGAGCAGAGGCGATGCCTTCAGAAGCAGTACAGGAGATGCCAGCCCTGGGATTCAACAAAGAGATGGACACTTTTCCTTCCTGGATTTCCAAAAAAAACTTCAAAACCTGATTTTTGTCAACAAGATTTGTTCAGTTGCATCAACCCAACTGTGATGTTCACAGATTGCCCTCCTGGAAGAACAGAACCTTTTCTCTGGTAAGTGTTCATGTTTTGAAGCTGTGGCAATGAAGAGAATTTTTCACTGATCACTGTGTTGGAGACATAATTTCTAAAGTTGGCAAAATTCAGTTTTGCTCTGCTGTAGCAGAGGTGAAATAAGGTAAACCATGTTAAGGCCATTTGGAGCTGTGTAAATTGGATCAAATGGGAATTTCAGGCAGGTTCATCACCAATAAATTCAATTGTCTGATTAACTGAACTGAACTCCTCTGTCTGTCTCTGCACAGAAGCACAAGCACTGCTGGGTTACAGCACAAGGAGGTGGCCCTGCCAGGCACAAAAGTGAAGGGGCAGAGTAAAACACATCCAAAAAGGCAAGAACTGTAGTCAGAAAAATGTAGAGAAAAGTTTGGGTAGAAGGAAGATTTCCTAAAGCCTTTCCTTGAGCATGTACATGGCCATGGGTGTTCACTGGAAGTTTTTTCTGCCTTCATTTTCTGCCTGCAAGATGTCCAGGTGCAGAACAACTGGCAGAAGCTTAGGACAGGCTTAGCACCCCTTAGCCAGTGGTCCCTGAGAATAAACACCCCCAGCAATGAGGACTGCTGGAGATGGAGCCCAGCTTGCCCAGGAGCCCCAAGAATAAAGTCGCTTTGAGGCTTTGCTGGACTTAACCTGGAGTTGAAGGGATTTTGTCCTTTTCTCACAGGAGGAAAAACAGTCGGACTCATGTTCACCTCACCAGCTGGCACGTTGTTTTCCTGAAGGGCACATAATTGTTTTATGGGGGTTTCGCTCGACTTTGCAGCGCCGAGCAGTTCCTTGTGCCAATATTTGATTATGATGATCGAGCTAATAGATGTGCTCGCCTGTCCTTCCTTAACGAATTGGCTGAGCTGGATAATAGAGCGCTCAGATTTGTGCTAAATTGCAGCTCGGGGAGCCATCACTGGGAGATGTTATCTTCTCGGAACTGGCATCCTTTATCGCAGGGAAGGGAATTGAATTGGTTTAAGACGGTGCACTGTCAGTTTATAGGTGTGCTTAGGAGAGCTCTTAAGCCTCTTCCAACAGGGCGTAGGGTGAGAGCAGAATGTCAGAGTGGGCCTTTGGCATCAAGGATGCCAGGGGAAAGATACTTGTCAGCATACGGTTGTCTCTAAACACATCGATAAACCATTGACTAACGAGAGTCATTTGGCCTCACTGATGCCGCTGTTAATTGTTAAAAGCTGCTAATGACCCATTCCTCCAGTGGTACCTTCCAATTGTCAGCATTGACCTAATCTCTCCCAGAGAGGCGTTCCAGCCACGGCTTTCAGCTGTAAGCAGAAAGAGGGGGGTCTTTCCCAGCTTCGTGCATTTTTCTGGTTTTTGTTCC